TCTGAGCCTACTTAACTATCTAAGCTTGATTTAGGGTGTAGAAAGATTTATCAGAGCCTTCTGGTTGGGGGTTTGGTGCTCTGGTTCATCTGTACAGTTCACCATGGCTTTGATGTTGCCAGATGCTTGATTTGCTTGCTAGATGTGTTTAGCAGATGTTTTGCTCACTCTCTGGTTAGGTGTCAGAAAGCTACAGGGTTCAACTTGCTCTCCAGCTCAGTGCCAGAAAGCTACAGGAGTTTGCATGTATAGAAGGTGTTCACTTTGATGTATGCCCTCTTTAGTGCTTGTAAAACCTTGTTATCCACAAGAATAACTGTTCAGAGTGTTAATTGTAAGCTTCAATATCTAATTAAGCTGTAAATCAATCTTATATGCTTGCTCTTCAGTGCAAAGAGCTATAACCTGATGGAGGACTTGTATGCTTGTCATTCACTAAGCTACCTAAAGAGAAATCTCAGCTAATCTATGTAGGTCACATGAGCAAGGTCCTAGTTGGACTACCTAACAAAAACTCTGCATCAGATCAAAGAGAATCCGAGCTACTAGTCTGGAGACTAACTACATAGAGACTAGTGTCTTGATACAAACCCACAGCATTAAAGAATCCACTGAGACAGGCTGTATTAGAAATGAAATTGGGCAACCCAAAACATTGTATTTATAATAGCTGCCTATCATTAAACATATTAAGTTGATAATAATTCCACCTGAACCATATCACACAACACAATAACCATTGAATTCAAAATTCCCTAGTATTATGTTTCAGATGCTTGCATGGGCTGTATAGTGGCCCTGGTTAGAAACTTCCTGTGTCCATCTAATGAGGTAGGACCTGTTTTAATCAGAAAAATAATCTGGCAACTGATGAGGTGTCAGCTTGAGTCTAAAATACTATTAAAGAATCATTTACCTCCCAGATCAACTAAAGCCCCTCTCTCTTATCAACAAAGTAAGCTGCTCTTTTGAATAGTGCAGAGGTTTCTGCATAGGTTTCAAGTCTCAAGTCATAGTCAGTAAGCATGAATTTTCTTTCTTCATCAAAAGATATCCATCTATCCAACTTTGAGTTGAATAGTTAGCATAAATTTTCACAATGCTGCCATTGACCTACTTACAGATGCAAGATGATAGCTGAGCCATAGACATCTTTCAGTTCTAAATGCCATGACACTAGAAAGTTCCAAATACTGTTGATTACAGCTCACAAGAGATAGATAATCAAAGAAGTTAGAAGAATAGTAGAGTTGGCTCCAGCTCAAACCATGTATAAAGAAATTGTCTGGAAGATAGTGGCTCATTCCATTTCCTGTTATAGAGAAATCCTCACTTCTCAGATAAGATATATTTAACCCCTCTGTACTTAGTGCATTCAGAAAGATAACTAAGGCCTGTCATGATACTTATGATTTAATATAAGCTATAGCTTCAGGAACCAATGATAGAGATCAAAGAAAAGCTAAGAAAACATGTACATGAGAAAGAACATTTTTGTTGTCAATGTACTTGAGAGCCAATGCAAGAATGTGAAATGCAAAACATGAAGTATAGAAAATGATCTCAGTGGAGTCTTTAAAATTAGAGTTAATAAGATGGAGAGTCAGATAGAAAACAGAAAGAGACTGATACAAATATTTAACATTAGATATGTTGATAGAGAATTAGATTGCATCTGATAACAGTTTGCTGATAAGAGAACAAGCATCAAACTCAAGAACAGAAGCAAAGTTAATAAAAGTAATATAGACTTCTTGTTTTATTCATTTGAATTTTGGAGTTTTCAAGCAAGATATAATCTCAAGTGCATACTTGAGAAAGAAGGGTATTGACTCCCTGTTAAAAAGAATTAAATGAGCTCTCATAAAAAGTAATATTATAGAGAAGTAGTGATCCAGTTTCTCAAAGTCCAAAAAAGGGTTTAAAGATAAAAGAATTGATTCTTTGGTGTTTGAAAATGACTCAATACAGATCAGGGATTTGGAGAAAAAGAACAACTGAAGAAGAATATTAGATTTGGCAAGAACAGCAAGATGATGCTGGATTTTCCTAACTTGAGAAGACTTATCAGCAGCTTTATTATATCAATATCTTGCCATTCCAGCCCAAACCTCTCTATAAAGATCTGATTTTTCCACAATCATTCTGTAGTGGGCCAGATTCTCTAAGCACCCAATTCATGTATTATTCAGATTTGAAGCAGCTTTACAAAGGGAAATTATTATTAAAGAGACATTATCTATAAATGTATGAAGGTGATTTAATGTTTTGAGCAGCCTGTACTGTAGATAATTCAGAAAGTAATGAATTTCATGTCTCTACATTCTTGCAGGCATGCTGTAATGATTAGCTAATTCACAAATGATAGAGAGAGCTGAAGAATATTGAGACTCTAAAAAGAATCTTTAGTGATATTTTAGAAGACTTATATGCATGTCTTTATATGTCTTTCAATTCTTATTTTCTGTTGGATTATTGGTGAGTTGATGGTTAATTTTCATACATGTTTGCTCTGCAAGAGCAAGATTCCAGTAAGTATTTTGCATCCAGATAATAATCTTATTAACATTGCTATTTGGCTGTAAGCTTGGGGCAGATTCTTGTTGGCTTTTTTCTAGAGAAGACTGATTCTGAAATGAGAATGATAATCTGATGCAGTTCAGCTAACAGATTTTGCTTTACATGAAGCATACTTACCTGGTAATCAACTTTCATTCATCATCTGGCTTCTTGATAAATATTTCCAAACTTACAGTCTGTTTTGCAGGGGAAGAATCCATAATAACTAGTTCTTGAGAAGAAGTTTTGACAATGAGATGGAGTGACTTGTTTGAATAAACAATAGAGATTGCAGAAAGAGTATTTAAAGCTAGTGTATCCATATATCTCTTGCAAACCACAAAAAAAGGTGACTATTCAATCAAGATGTCTTAAAAAAAAGAAAATGGCTTGGAAAAGCAGTATAGATATCTGTAAGACAACCAAATTATCTCAAGAATCACTAATAGCAACTTGAACTATCATATATTGATAATTATTTTAGCTCAATGAGTCTTTTTCAGTCTTCTCACTAGCTGTCATGTTGATCTTGGGTCAGAAACAAGAGCAAGTCTATGGCATACCATTAATTAACAGGCTAAGAATGTTGGTGAAACTTATATACCATATAAAATCTTTTTTAACTGCAGAGCAACACTTTCTTCTCTGCTAGCTGGATCTGATTAGTCTGTACAGGTTCAGTGTTATCTTATAGATTCTTGTAGATGGACTTAGCAGCTCCAAATAGATACTGATGCTGGAGGGCTTTGCCTGCCAAATTAACATATAAGATACATCAATCCAAATGTATTCTCTGGCACAATATCAGTCTGCTTGTTGACTAACATGCCTGTAGGTTCTGGAACTCTGCAACTATATAGTTTCCCATTGAACTTTTCTTTGTTGGATATGCAAGACTTGCTTTAATGATAGCCCACTTTCCAACAAATCCCATGCTAATTAATGGTAGTAATAAAAGAGAAATTAGACAGCAAAAAAAGAGCTCTAGGGGGCAGAATCTACACAATGAACATAACATGACAACAGACTCAGATCATTATTAGAATCAATGAGATCTCCAAAGCACTAATCTGAAAAGGAATAGTTATGTTATATACATTTACAAAAGGCACAGGGCATGAGAGAAAATTTGTGAGACTCTAAATGGGCTGGATGAATGAACAGTTGAACACAGTATTGGTGAGACAGAACATTGGTAGGTTCTGTATATTCTTTCTTGCCATCAGTGTCAACATCACTTGTAATCAAATCTTTCACATGGTGGAAGATTACTAGCTGCTATACTCCATACTTTCAAGTGACAAGATTTCTGGCTCCCGGGCCATAATTGCAATTGCAATAATTGAAGACAGGATTATTGTGCAGCTGCTCCAGCACTGTGGGCAGTGGCCAGAACCAAAATCTGTTCTAGTTATGGATAACATATCATTTCACCACTTGGCCAGAATAAAGCAGATGTGCTCTGATGCTGGGGTGAAACTACTATACTTACCACCCTATTTATCAAGTCTAAATCCAATAGAGAAATTCTTTGCTGAGTTGAAGGCTTACATCAAGAAGAATTGGTCTCTATATGAGAAGTACCCTAGTCAGTGTTTTGGTGTTTTCCTCCAACAATGTGTTGATGTTGTGGGTGTGGAAAAAAAAAGTGCACAAGGCCATTTTTGAAATGCTGGTTTATCAGTTGAGTCATGTGGTTTGCAATAGAGTGCTTTCCAACCTTTCTTTCCCTGCAAAAAATTGTATCAGATACAGCACATATTCATTCTTCTTACAACCACACTGTTATAGACAAATTAGAAAATGCTGAGCATGATTGAAGTGAAATTGTAATAGAGCATGTTGAACTAGTTTCTTTATCTAAGCTGATTCATGAAATTATCTGCCTTTCTGTAATCAAGTAGAAGCTCACATTTCAAACAAAACAGGCTTGTTTGTAGATCCACACCTGTGAACCTCAGTTGATTCAAATAAGATTAGAAATTTAGGCTACATGTAAAGGATAAGGTTGTCCATCACTGCTGAGAGCTAGTACACCTCCCCCTTCCCTGGTGGGGGGTCAACTCAGAGCCTTTTGAATCAGATCACTCTCATTGGTTGGTGTAAGTTGTGAGATTATCAAGCAGAGTATAATGTGAATGAGAAGCTCCATCTTATCTCTCTCATCAACTTGGAACAGCCCAAACTCCTGAATTCAAAGAAAGTGTTTTTTCCCCCTTTGAGAAACAACAGGTACATCACCAGGGCTAAAAATATAGTCAAGGTACTCTTTGTTGTAAGTCCCAATGCGATTGTGAAAGGACAGGAAATCCTGTGCAATCATGAAAGTATGGTAGCTTCTGGGGTTCCTCAGCTACACAGAAGATATTAGCCATCAAAGCTTCTGTTGAGAAAAGAGAGAGGGAGAGGAAATTCACCAATTGATCATTTTTGTGTCATTTTCAGATATATGCAACATGCTCCATTGACTGCTGTCCCATGACAGGAACACCTTGGCCAGATTCATGATGGGCATGCTTGGCTTCAAATATTATCATTTCAGGAAGATTTTTATCTGGAGGCAGGCTAAAGGAGATGCTCCTGTCTATGTGTGCTCGGAACTGTATATGATTTGAAGTGGTTGGACCATTTAGAAGTGGGCCAAATTGATAGGTTGTCTCAAAGGCATTAGCCATGCAGACAGTCTGGTAAGCAAGGGGCTGTAAGAGGCATGCTAAACCCCCTAGAAGATTGACCATAAAATCAACCACCAGAGTCTCAGTACAAGTCCATGGGTCTGGGATTTCATCTGAAATTTTGTCCAAGATTTCTTCTGGAAGTTCAATGTTAGGCAGAATAGAAGGCTTGCTTGGAGCTGGATGGTCATCTATGGCATCAAAGTCTCCTAGATGCAAGCACTTAGGGTGCCTGGGGGTTGGAGAATCAGGCATTTGGCCTGATGAACTTTGAGAAGCATTGTAATGTCCCTTTTTTTTTTGTGTGTAAGTTATAGGGAGAGACTTTTCTCTTGGGGTAGTATGCAGTTCTTTGTCCAGAATTTGCCTTTTTAAACTAACAAGCATTGAGAAAGGGCCTAGTCCATCTGCAAGTGTGCATAATTATTTGTGAGGTGTCTTTGTTTGGGAGCAGATGACATCAAACAGAGTGTCTAACTTGTTGAGTCTGAGAAGTTTCCTATTGATAAGCTTTGTGGCCTGGGCAACATGTTCTTCACTGAAGTATGATCCTGTCCTGAGAATATATGGTAATGCATCCCCAACAGCCATCACTTCTGGCTAAATGCATTGGACAGTGAGGAAGGCTTCTTTAGATACAGTTGACACAGAGAAAGAACCTTATCCAGAGAAATAAAGTCAGGGAATACTGCCAACTTCTGTTGAAATACTGAGTGGCCTACCATAGAAGCACAAGTCTTGGAGTTTGGCATCCATCAAGCTATACATTGTGACCATTTCAAGCCACTCCTGCTTGATGGATGGGATCTTATCCAGGCCATCAACTGCCTTCCACCTCCATCTAGGAAGCTCTGCCATTTTGAAGAATAGACGCGTGAGTGGTTGGTTATGGTTTGAAGGATCCACAGTCACAAAGACTAGCAAGCTTTTTCAATCCTGCTTATGCTTCACAAGAAAAAGTACTTACTGATATAGAATCCAATGCCAGAGTGTGCACAGTCAAAAAAAAAAAGGTGAAAAGTCACAAGACAATAAAAAGTGATACAGTACAGAGTACTCTGTACTGTACTAACTACATTAGGCTGGGGTCATGTGCCAAAGTGGAGCAAGAGGCAAAGCAGATGAAGCTTGACTGGATCAACAACTTCAGTGTCATGTCAAAACATCAAGCATCAATTATCATGGAATGTGTCAGCTACAAGCCCTTTTCAGGCCTGTGTGAGTTCAGTGAACTGATGTGTGCGCTTTTTCACATGTATAGATCAGAAATGCCAGATCTGATCTCCTTTGACTGGCTACAGAAAATGTTGGATTTGGAAGTGGTTTGCAGAGACATGATAAAGAAAGAGGTTAGGATTTCAACCCCATCAAGTCTTGAACAAGCTATCCAGAAATGTGTGAGGATCAACTCTCCAGACTCCCTGTATTTCCTCTGCCCGCCCACCAACTATAGTTGGACTGGTTGGATGAAATTAGCTATTGATGACTTGAAAAAAGAAGTTACAATCAAAACTGAAGCAAAGTAAGAGAATAAACAGTTCTCATCTCTTAACTCTATTTGTCTACATTGTGACACTTTGTGACTTACCATCCCTCTTCCTGTCCCATAGGTGTGATGGTCCATTGTTTTCCATCCTTGGTCAAGGCTTGGCTGCTGATCGCCACTGCTGTGTTCTTGTGCATTGTCTCTTTTGACACTGGCTGGATCACTGAGGTATTATGATCTGAGATCACTCACCATTGAATCAGCACAGGAGCTGTAAGGACTATCTTCTTCAAAGTGAAATAATGGGAATCACTTTGATCATATATCACCAGATGAATGAAGTACATTGGGATCCCTCAAAATCCAAATATACAGAGCCAGAATTAATATACTCAGATGGTCCTTTAATTGTATGTTCATTGCCCATTAATTTTCCTTTTTAGATGAATGCAACACTGACATTTCTCTTGGCCACAGTTGTGACCTTTATTTCTGGCAAAGTATGGGTGGTTCAGGCAACTTGCAATCCATCAAACACATCCACCTCTCTTACATTTGCACTCAGAGCTTTTTATAATCTCAGCATGTCTTGCTATGACAAGACCACTACTCAGAAGATTCTGAAATGGATTCTGGTTCCTGCAAGGTACAGTGCAGGGAGGGACTGAAGGAATATATTGATGGTGTAACTCCATAACAACCTGGGGTCACAGCATAATCCAAACTTCCATCCCATGGAACAAACATCTGGGCCTGAGAGGCAGTATCAATCCCAACAACACTATTCATCATTCTTTCTCCCAAAGTGCTCTAGTAAGATGAAAACAGTTTTTGTATCAGGCTCAAAAATATTGATACAAAGATATTGCACTGTTGTTTGGGTTGCCTTTTTAACAGCCAGCATGGAATTAGAACTGTTATTGTTCAAAATCTGTTCTAAGAAAACCCATGAGCAGTTGAAATCAACAGTGGGTACAGTTCATCTTTTGGTGTACAAGAATCAGAATTGTGCCCATTGGGAGAGAGCATATCAAGAGTTATATTGTTACCAATTGGAGCCACAGATTTAAAAAGGTAGGAGTCTGGAGTTTCAAGATTCACTGACAATTTTATCCAGCTATTGTTTGCCAGATGAGATTTGCACACTGGAAATTCTGTTGGTTCTGTAAATGATCTGAGCTGGTCAAGCAGTAATTTAAAGAGCTGATGGAGGAGCTATTTATTAATGAACTCTGTTATGCTGATTTTTGTCTCTGCAAAAGTTTGTAGATCCAGATTCTTCTTAAAGAAGAAAGATCTTTCTCTGTTTTATTGAAGATTGGAAATATCTTCCATCACTTCAAGTAGATCTAATAAGGTTGATTCTTGAGAATTGTCAAGCAGGTCAAGTATGTCACACTGTATCTTCAATTGCTGGATATTATTATCTACAGCAGTAAGATCATCAAGTATCTCCTCTTCATATTTTGCAAAATTTTGTAGCAATTCCAGAAGACTAGAGTTCTGTACAGCCATTTCATATTTATGTTTTGTAGCTTGATCTTCCTGTGCTATATCATATTCAGTATATAGATTCCAAAGCTCCTCTTTCAGTAAGTTCATATTGCCTATCTGAAAATAGTACTGAATGACTAGTGAGTGGTATATCTCTGTAAAGTTTGGAGCATTATTCTTGACTGATTTCTTAGAACTACTGAATAAATCTTTGTTCTCTTCTCTGTCTCCTGTTTTTCTTAGAGTCTTGATAACTTCTTCAAGCTTAAATTCTTTTCTGTCTAACTGGTCTTCCAATTGATTATAGTTATTCTTAAAAGAAGAGTATTTATTTTAGATATCTTGATACTGTTTAAAAAGTGTAAGAAGTGCTGAATCTAGTCTTGCAGGATTATCTTTATGATTAATAAGTAGCTGGTTCAGTTTATTCATAAATTCTGCTTCCAGATTAATAATACCATTATATTTACATCTCAGTTTTCTGTGGTGCTTACAGACTAGTATATGAGTTGCAGTAATATTGTCTTGTTTTGCAATGAATCTTTGTAAATGGATATGTAGTTCTTCATCTGTCTTGAAAGTGAGTGACCTTGAAACATGCTCAAAAAGAGATAAAGACTTGATTGCTAGAGATGGAATCTCTGGAAAAGTCTGTGCTAGTTAAATTAATTCTGTCTTTTCAGAGGTAAACAAGAACTCCATGTTATAGTCAACACTTCAGAAACTGGGTATGGAGAGAGACTGCTGGCATAAATTGATGTTGGCTGGATGGAGTTCACTGATCAGAGAGCCTGTATGCTTCAGACTAAAGTTAATATAGACAATACACTGATTAGAGCCTCCATTTTGAACATACACTACTATCAGCTATAGACAATGCTCTAGCCTGAGCCATCATCAATAGTATAAGGATGAACCAGATCAATACTGTGGCACATGAAAAGATAAATAAAGAAGGTTGTCAGCACAAAATTTTGGAAGATAATGAAAGTGCAAACAAGGTCACCCAGAAAAACAGTAGCATAGATTGATCCACAAATTCACCTTCATTGCATAACAGGAGAATCTTGTACAGCACAAGGTATGCATTTCTGGGAAGGTGAAAGTGCCACACTATCAACACTGACCACTGTCATCAAGCTTATATGCATGGCTTGTAGCTATAATGTGGGGGTGCAAGCCTGTCTTAAGCTAATAGGGTAATTGGAGAAGCAACCTGCGCAGCTTGAAAATCTATGGTGGTCAGTCAAAAAGGTATTTTTCTTAACTGACCTTCTTATTAGTCCACACCCAAAATGGGCTGACCTTTGGGCGAGCCGCATATCTTCCATGCAAAAATCTCCCCCTAACTGGGGCCACAGATTGAGCTGGCGCGAGCTGCTGGAACCCAGTTTGCAATGGTGCACCCTGATAATCAGGCCACTGCCCATGAATCTGTAATCCTTCACACAAAAATCCCATATAAATTTAAGAAAAGTGCAGATTTGACTGAATTAAATTATCAATCTCATCATCAATTCAAGATCACAAAGCAACAGTGTGCTCAGTATTCACTTTCTTCCCTTGGTGCCTTTGCCTCACCCACCAAATATTATCACCAGCCACCACTGCAGCTATGCCCCAACAGTAAGAAACAACCCTCTTTCTGCTGTCACTCTATCACAATTGCAGGCTGTCCTGACATATTATAGAAGTGTTGCCAACCACACAGCTAAGCTGTCTTCCCTCCAGCTCCAGAACAGATCTCTCACCCCAGGAAAGTCATGCAAACACCAATTGCCCCACAAATCTGCTGCTGCTGTCAGCACTCCCATTCATCTACAGCTCCAGCCCAATGTCTTCACTCCAAATTATGATGATGGAACCCACAGAGTCTTTGCTGGTGCCAGAAAGCACACAGCTTATGACTTACCTGTTGCCACAATATCAGTATTAGAGAAGAGATCATAGCCTGCAAATGAGATACCTGTCAACACATTAATTCTGCAGTCTGAGATCCATCAGATCACAGAAGAGCAGTTGATTAATAAAGTTTGCATCATCTATGCTGGTGTTGTTCTTGTGAAAAGAAAATGTATTAAGATTGACTGCCAACAAGCCAATAACTCTTCAACCCTGACCAATGAGCAATGGCAGGCTCTCATGACCTTGCATAGGACCCTTCTACACAAGCATCATGATTTTTTTTTGACATTCCAGCATCTGTCAGCAAGCCCTGCCTTTCAGAGATTAGCCAGTTGCTATATTATGCCTGCAAGAATGTAGAGACATGCAATTCATTCATTTCTGGAATTTTTGTGTTACAGGCTTCCTGAGGTGCTGGATTAAATGCTTGCCTTCATATCTACTGTCTATTCTATAATGGCCCTGCTTCTTGAGAGTGTTCTGAGCTTTGAGGATACATGAATTAAATATTTGGAGGATTTAGCCTGATATAAAATAGCTGTAGAAGAGTCAGATCTTTGTGACAGGAAGATCTGGGCTGGAGTGGCAAGATGTTGATATAATAAGACAGCTGACAAGTCTTCCATGGTTGGGAGAATTCAGCATCATCTTGCTGTTCTTGCCAGACCTAACATTCTTCTTCAGCTGTTCTTCTACTCCAAATCCCTCATTTGTGTTCACTCATTCCAAAACACCAAGAATTCTGTCTAGACTTTATCCTGTCACAATGGTTTTTGCGTCAATCAATGCCTGAAGCCCCTGATTTGAAGACATATCTCAAGCTCTTTAGGAGGGACCAGGCTTTCTATGTGGTATTGTTGGTGGTAGAATTTGGTTGCACCATCTTTCAATTTGTGGTAGGCCAATCTGATCATCTGATAGGGGTAATATTAATGACCATGAGATTATGTGTATGGCAGCACTCATTTGTTGCTCTCCTGCACCCTCAGAAGCTGCAGTCTATCAGCTCAAGAGATATGATCCTGGGAGGTGGATTATTTGGATGCAGGTAGCTGTCCACTGGTATGGTTTAATTGCAGAGCTCTCAGGCCATTTTACATGGCTGAAATTCCAGTTTGGCACTGTATCAAATTGCAAAACATCAATTGATTCCAAAGCAAAATGAATGCGGGAAAGCAGGTCTCTGGCTTGAATTTTCATTGCCTTGTTTGTTTGTGATAGTATATAAAGTAGTGAGTCAACCAAATTAGCCTCTCATTGGTCTGTCAAGTTGCATTGACAAGCACATCCTACAATATGCATTTTGAACTGCTTGCCTGCTCCTCTTTTACAGAAGATTCTCAGACTCTGGTGCATGATATCTTTCACTTTGTGGAAGGTATCTACCCACAAATAATTCAGCACTTGAACAAGCTTCAAGCTGCTTTGAAAGTATGCACTCTGCAAGGTTTTATTGACTAATAAAATATAGGAACAGGGACACCATATTACTATAATTAGAATGACAGAAGCAAAGGAGATTCCAGACTTGTTCTATAAATAAAATGAGGTGAAAAACCAGTTTCCAGTTCTCTGTGCACAACCAGAAGTGGCTGATATTATGCAGGACACTCTGTAAATTTTGATGAAGGAAGTTATCATCTGCTGGCAGAATAATCTGGAAAGATTCTATTCTGTTAATAATGCCAGAAACAGTTCACCAGAATGTGTTTCTGTCTGGAACTTTTTCAATACTGTAGAGGAGGCTGTTTCTCTTAACCTGATTTTTGATTGTTTCTGCCATCAGACTCTCTGTGGTTTGGGAGATATTGTTGAATTAGTGGGGGACAAGGCAAGAGACTTCTCTCAGCTAGTGTGATATCAGGTGGCAGCCACTCACATGGTGTGCTAAACAGGCCACATTCAAACATGAAAGGGTTGATAGGGGCTCTTTTTTGTGACAGAATACATGGCAGCATGTAAAGAAACCTCATATTAGCTTGCAATGTTTTACCCTGGCCCTACCAGCTTTGTGGTTCAAGGCTTGCAGGCGCTTGTGGTTGTGGAGTACTGTATTTGTATTGGTCATGTTCTTGCATCAAGTAGGGCTGGCTTAAATCAATTAGATTTTAAACTGCTTGTAAGCTTCATTAGCTTTCAACTGCTGACCAAGCTTAATATTGAGATTTCATTCTTGATTGCTCTTGTTCACTTCCCCCATGACTAACTTCTCTCAGAAAAGATATTTTCTAGTTCTAGTTCAAGTGTGTCATCTAGACTGTCTTTCTAACCTGTGCACTCTAACTACTGTTCCTTCATAAAGCCTGATCTCTTCATTGGAATATTACTGGATGCTGTACATATCTGGAATCTTATATAACCTGCAGAAGCCTGTCAACTAATGAATGTTAAATATGTTCTAGTCTGATAGACCTTAGAAATCAAAGTCAATCTCTATTCCTACAGGTGCTGTCTGGGCAAGGGCAAGCAGGCCTGAAAGCAATAACCAGAATACTTTAATGAGGGGAATTTGGCTCCATCTCTGTTGTTATATGACTATGTGAGAGATTACAAGTGATAGAATACAAAGACCTGCCCTTAACAGCCTTACTTGGTGTGAACATGTGAGCTGGACCTGTACTCCCCTGGCAGTTCTGAGAGACAAGAAATGAAGGGACTTTAGCAAAGGTGCTATATGTGTCATGCATACAATTGAGTCTCCACACCAGAAAACATTGCTCAATCCTCCAACCACCCAGACAGTCACCTGCTGTGCAAGATAGTCATGCAATCAAAAGCAGGACATGAGTGATCTATAACTATGAGTAAGGTTTTTCTTTGGACATGCAGTACTAGATATTATCAAGTTTACACTAATTTGAGCTTGTGGATGAAAAGTACAACAATTTCTATATAAGTAGTTGTTCTTTTTCTGCAATCTCTTCTTTCTTGAGACATTTGTTTCATCCTCCTGATTTGTCTTTTCTTTCCAGGAACCCGCCAATGGATAGGTTGTTGGGACTTGTGTGTTTTCTGATAGTGTGCTCTCTCACCTCTTCACAAAAAGAATTTTCTGTATAAGGATAGCTCTATTGAATGTTGCACTGCTGGTGGGTATAAATATGTATTCCTTATCAATGTTCACTCTTGCTTATGAGTATGCTCAGGTAATACAATGATGTTCTTGATATCAGCTTCTTGGTGCCTGCTGCAATCTTGAGGGTCAAGAGAAGAAAATTCTGTCTTGGAAACAAGAGAATTGGGAAAGAAAACTAGATATACTCTATATGCTTTCAAGCTCTGCTTATGAAACTCTTGCTATTACACTTAGCTACTATAAGCAATTCACTGATTCTTCATTAAATGCACAAGTCATTCAGAGTCAGCAGAAAGCTTTAATGACAAGAGTGAGAACACTTGCTGACATAAATAAAGAGATACCTGATCTTCCAATTCTGAAGTTTGATGCTGCTGCAAACATCATGATACTCTGTGCAAGTATTGATATCTTTGTAATTTGTCCAAAGCTCCACAATCTAAATCTGATAGACTTCAAGAATTATGTCTTCCAGCTCAGAAAGTCACCACTGTATCAATTAGAGTGAATTACTGTGGAAAAAGTAAAGAAAGAGCTGGAAATCATAAATTATGGTCTATTTTTGTTAAAGAAATTGCAAGATTATGTGATTGCACTGCAGGACATAAATAGTAAAGCACTGAACTGCATGAAGAGAACTCTGATAGACATTACATTATCTCTTCTTCTGATATGATTCTTGACTTACTTTTCTTATAGACTTCAAGTCTTGCTCTTCATCAGAGTCTGCTCTATCTATACTTGATTCTTCTTGCATTTGATTCTCCAGATATAGACTAGCTTTAAAAAAAGTATAAAAATGTTATTTTCTGGAAGCAGATAAACTGAAAAGAGAAATAGACTCAATCTGATAATCTTTCTGATTCTGAATATAGTGATGTTGCCTCTGTACTAGCAAGTTTTCACCAGTTTGACAGCATTAAATTAACAGACAGAAAGTTAAAGAATCAGCATGAGATGTTAAAAGCAGAACTGAGAGTGATTGCTGATGAATTAATGTCTATTCTATTAAAGAGTGATGAATTTACTGTCTTTGCAAACATCATAATAATTTGTGTCTGTCTTGAGGTTTACATCATGGATCTGCAGGAAGATGAAGATATTCATCACTACATAAACTTTAAGACTTATACTGCTCAGCTCTGCTTGTCATTACTGTATAAGAGTGTGAAGATTACATCTGAGAAAGTACAAACTGAGTTTGATTGCATTATTCTCTTTCAACTTAAAGAAGATTATTAATTAGCACTATACTATAATTGCAATTTGTTGCCAGCTCAGATGAAGATTATAATCAGCTGTAATGATTTCTCTAAATCTCAGCAACTTGAAATAGCAGATGCTTGAATACTTACAGAAAGAAAACAGTATTTGTAATTTCTAGAAGAAATCTGATTAATATTCATCTCTCAGTCTTTTTGTGTTTTTGATTGGTGAGATGGAGTGAAGGAAGCACTGTATTTTTTTTTCTTTTCTTCTTTTTTTTGTATATAACAATTGTTACCCAAACACTTCTGCTTAGCATGCCCCAGCTGGCTGCCCATAGGTATTGGCAATAGTAGGTGACTTGAGATGATGGCCTTGTGTCACATAAAGTCAATAAAATTGCTCTTATGTCCAAGTATATAGCACTAATGTGACAGTTGTGAATTTTGCAGGTAATATTGACATAAAAATATTCATATCCCAGAATAGATAACTGATGATTTGAATCCAATTTCTCAGCCAGAAGTGTCTCATGAAATAACAGCAGAGGATGCCATGCATTCACTGGAAGATTGGGTCCTGTCTCTAACTTAGCAGTCCAAAGAACCAGAGGCCAGGTGTCTAATGTTCTGCTGATTCCATCATCTGGAAGAGCACATCAAGAAGCCCACCAGGATCTCTGGCATTTTGGGCAAATGAATTTCTAGTCGCCAAATCTGTTTGTGCCTGAGGATTTGAAGCAGGTTATTGCTGTAGGAGTGGATTGGAAGGTTGGCTAAATTCAGCTGGCTGCACCTCGTCAAAATTATCTGATTGTCCAGCTGCTTGACTGCCATCTGCAGTTAGTAAAATTTCTCTCTTCGCGATTGAATATCATACTTAATGCCACGGGCGGTAGTTGTGATGTAGATATATTGCTTGCTTGTGATCCTTTCTGCCGCACAGAACCACCATTCTGTGGGGGTTGTAAAGGTGTGGAGAACAGCTGCTGGTATCCCGCAAGCCCTTGTTATTTTCAAGCCACTAGCTGTATTAGAGATGAAATTGTGCAACCCGAAATATTGTATTTATAATAGTTGTCTATCATTGATAATAATTCCACCTGAACCAGTATCCCATAACACAAAAACCATTGAATTCAAAATTCCCCTAGTATTATGTTTCAGATGGCTCTGGTTAGGAACTTCTAAGTCCATCTAATGATGTAGGATCTGTCTTAATCAAGAAAAAAGCCTGGCAACTGATAAGGTGTCAGCTTGAGTCTAAAATACTATTAAAGAACCATTTATCTTCTGGATCAACTGAAGCCTCTCCCTCTCATCAACAAAGTGGGCTGGTTTTTTGAATAGTCCAGAAGTTTCTGTATAAGTCTCAAGCCTCAAGCTATAGTCAGTAAGCATGAATTTCTTTTCTTCATCAAAAGATATCCATCTATCTGACTTTGAGTTGAATAGTTAGCATAAATTTTCACAATGCTGCCATTGACCTACTTACAGATGCAAGATGACAGTCAAGCCATAGGCACCTTTCAGTTCTAGATGTTATGACACTAGAAAGTTCCAAATACTGTTGATTACAGCTCACAAGAGATGGATAATCAAAGAAGTCAGAAGAATAGTAGAGTTGGCTCCAGCTCAAACTATACATAAAGAAATTATCTGAGAGATGACAGCTTATCTTATTTCCTGCTATAGAGAAATTCTCACTTCTCAGATGAGATATATTCAACCCCTCTGTACTTAGTGCATTCAGAAAGATAATTAAGGCCTGCTACAGTACTTGTGATTCAATGTAAGTTATAGCTTTAGAAACCAATAATAGAGACCAAAGAAAAGCTAAGAAAACATGTATATGAGAGAGAACATTTTTGCTGCTATTATACTTGAGAGTCAATGCAAGAATGTGAAATGCAAAACATGAGATATAGAAAATAGTCTCAGTGGAATCTTTAAAATTAGAGTTAATGAGATGGAGAGTCAGATGGAAAACAGAAAGAGACTGATACAAATCTTTAACATTAGATATATTAATAGAGAATTAGGTTGCATCTGATAACAGTTTGCTGAGAAGAGAACAAGCATCAAACTCAAGAAGAGAAGCAAAGTTGATAGAAGTAATATAGACTTCTTGTTCTGTCTATTTGAATTTTGAGATTTTCAAGCAAGATATAAACTCAAGTGCATACTTGAGAAAGAAGAGTATCAACTCCCTGTTAAAAAGAATTAAATGAGCTCTCACAAAGAGTAATATTATAGGAGGGTAGTGACCCAGTTTCTCAAAGTTCAAAAGAGGGTTCAATAATAAAATTGATTCTTTGGTGTTTGGGAATGACTCAACACAGATCAGGGATTTGGAGAAAAAGAACAACTGAAGAAGAATATTAGATTTGGCAAGAACAGCAAGATGATGCTGGATTTTCCTAACTTGAGAAGACTTATCAGCAGCTTTATTATATCAATATCTTGCCATTCCAGCCCAAACCTCTCTATAAAGATCTGATTTTTCCACAATCATTCTGTAGTGGGCCAGATTCTCTAAGCACTCAATTCATGTATTATTCAGATTTGAAGCAGCTTTACAAAGAGAAATTATTATTAAAGAGACAGTATCTATAAATGTATGAAGATGATTTAATGTTTTGAGCAGCCTGTACTGTAGATAATTCAGAAAGTAATGAATTTCATGTCTCTACATTCTTGCAGGCATGCTGTAATGATTAGCTAATTCATAAATGGTAGAGAGAGCTGAAGGATGTTGAGACTCTAAAAAGAATCTATAGTGATATTTTAGAAGACTTATATGCATGTCTTTATATGTCTTTCAATTCTTATTTTCTGTTGGATTATTGGTGTTTGATGGTTAATTTCCATACATGTTTGCTCTGCAAGAGCAAGATTCCAGTAAGTATTTTGCATCCAGGTAATGATCTTATTAACATTGCTATTTGGCTGTAAGCTTGGAGCAGATTCTTGTTAGCTTTTTTCCAGAAAAGACTGATTCTGAAACAAGAATAATAATCTGATGTGGTTCAGCTAACAGATTTTGCTTTACATGAAGCATGCTTATCTGGTAACCAACTCTTATTCATTATCTGACTTCTTGATAGATGTTTTCAAACTTACAGTCTGTTTTGCAGAAGAAGAATTCATAATGACTAGTTCTTGAGAAGAAGTTTTAATAATAAGATGGAGTGACTTGTTTGAATAAATAATAGAGATTGCAGAAAGAGTATTTAAAGCTGGTGTATCCATGCATCTCTTGCAAACCACAAAAAAAGACAACTATTTAATCAAGACACCTTAAAAAAAAGAAAATGGCTCAGAAAAGCAGCATAGATATCTATAAGGCAACTAAATTATCTCAAGAATCACTAATAGCAACTTGAACTGCCATATATTGACAATCATTTTAATTCAATGAGTCTTTTTCAGCCTTCTCACTAGCTATCATGTTGATTTCAGATTGGAAACAAGAGCAAGTCTATAGTATACCATTAATTAACAGGCTAAGAATGTTGGTGAAACTCATATATCATATAAAATCTTTTTCAACTGCAGAGCAACACTTTCCCCTCTGCTAGCTGAATCTGATTAGCCTGTACAGGCCCAGTGTTGTCTTATAGATTCTTGTAGATGAACTTAGCAGCTCCAAATAAATACTGATGCTGGAGGGCTTTGCCTGTCAAATTGACATATAAGGTACATTAATTCAAATATATTCTCCAGCACAACATCAGTCTGCTTGTTGACCAACATGCCTGTAGGTTCTGGAACTCTGTAACTATGCAGTTTCCCATTAAACTTTTCTTTGTTGGATATGCAAGACTTGCTTTAATGATAGCCCACCTTTCAACAAATTCCATGCTAATTAATGGTAGTAATAAAAGAGAAATTAGAAAGCAAAAAAAGAGCTCTAGGGCTGCAAACAGCAACTCACTAGGGCAGAATCTACACAATGAACATAATGTGACTACAGACATGGATCATCATTAGAACTGATGAGATCTCCAAAGCACTAATCTGAAAAGAAATAGTTGTTTTATATACATTCACAACAGATGACAATGAAGTCAAATCCATACAAGAAAATAATATTCTATCCAGATTCAAACTGATGTATTTTATCATTGCCAACTGATCCTGTCTTCAATAGACACCTAAATACAGATTCAATTGCTGAATCTCACTTCCACTTGATCCCCTGCTGTTTGAAATTGCTGTACAGCTGAGGGTCTCTGGTTGAGACAGGTTATATGAAGTTGGTGGTTGCTGATATAAAGGCAGATAGGTTAATAGAAGTCCTTCCTAAGAATAAAGGGCAGGCTTTACACTTTTGGTGGCATGTGCGCCCTGTGCATCTGTTGAGAGTGATGTTGTTTGACTATTTTCTCTACAGCTTTCATTTCCCCTTTTGGGCCCCGGAGGTTCAATTCCCTCTCCATCAGAGCCATTATTGTGGTCACTAGAAAAAATTAAAGTTGAGCCTTCAGACCATGACTGGCTGTTGTCATCACCATCATTATCTAAATGTATGCTCCCATCACTGATATCATCTGTGATCAGAGGGGTCAATTTGTTTGATCTACTAGGAAGATAGCTCCAATAGCTGATGGCCTCACTTATTTGGGTGTTCATGGCAGCATTAGAGGGGTATCCAAGGTGCTCTGCCATTATAGTCACTAGATTGAAAGACTGTTGAGGGTCAAAGCATCAATTCCATATCTTAAATTTGCAGTGTATCTTGTTGATTGTGAGCTTCTGTGCCTGCTGTGATAATCAACTAATTGCTCAAACATGCTGGTACACCTCATCCTCTAATTCATTAGTTTGGCACCAAGTATGGAACAATGGGCTACTCACTAAAGATTGCCTCATAAATCTGATCACTGTCTTGACCCCACACATTATATAAACAGGCAGCAATACAGTCTACCAGTTTGATCTCCTTTCATATATTTGCCAGAGATGAAGGTTTATAATCCCACCTGTGGTTTCTCAAAAGTTAGTTCACCTCAACTGTGGCCTTTCTGTCATCTTTGTCCTATTGGATCACATATTCTGCAACAAGAAAGAAACAAAATAAGAGAAAAATCTTCTCTCTTGAGATGCTTTTATATTGGGCTGCCCTTTTCTGTAATATAGAACATAACTCTATTGCTTGCATATGAAGATCATGAGATTCATCCATTTGTGGGAAGTCTGGCACTGGATCCAATGTATCTCTTCTGGTGACATCAGATATAGTGACTTTGAGGGTTTTAATGAAAGGGGTGGTGAGGTTCTTCACCTGTATATCATTCATCAATGGGCTACAGTCTTTATTACAGTTGTCTTCATGTACTGCTTGCTTTTTTTTTGTGAGGATTGTACATGTAGATTAGCGTGACAATGAATCTATAGAAGGAATTGTATGTAGAAAAGAGTACATGAGGTAAAAGGTCTGGTATTGGCAGCTATGTATAACTTGTAGACAAGATTGCCACTGGCTCCTAACAAGAGATTTGTGCAGTGGCAGTCTTTTATGTGTGCTTGTGAGCACATGACTTAGTGTCTTGCAAGAACACATGTACTTCTAACAGCTTGTGAGTCCAGATTCTGAGCCCTTACAGATGTTGTTTGTTCATGTAAGAAGTTTGCAGGCAAATTCTTACAGATTTCCCTCTCTTGTAAGTCTTGATCTCTCAAGGCAGCTATCTCATTAAAAATCTTCATGAGTAGAAAAACAAAACCTCTTGAGAAAAATAAAAATTTTCTTATAAGGAAAAGAGTACAGCCTCACTAGAGATGTAATATTAACACAACTCTAATAACATAACACAACATAATAACACAACAGAGCTCAATAACACAACAATATGTAGAGAGTTTCTATTGTTCTCACTAGCTTCATGTTATTATTAGATAATGAGCACTAGCTTAAGAGAGAGCTTTCTCTTGCTTTCTCTTTCTCTTTTTTTCTTCTCTTCCTTCTCTAGTCTATATTATTATTACTAAGATAAGTGAACCCTTCAAGCACTGCTTTGTATGGGAGGCAGGCTTGCAGAAGATCTCTGATGTTTGAAAGAAAACTATAGCTACATCTTAATGCTCTGCCCATCTGGCTGTAAGATCACAAGTTGGTAAGTTCATCTCTAATTATGTCTTTGCTTTACATGATCATAAGATTTTGTCTTTGTGTGGGGTTTGGTTTGCAGAGATGCTGATGCTTGCTAGAAGCTGTCAGTTTACTCTCTTTCTTCTCTCTCTCTCATGACTTCTCTTCTCTCTTCTCTCTTGAGAGAACCCTCATCCCCCCCTTTATAGAAGATATTGGGCCTTTAGTGAGTAGTTCTGAGAGATTGAGAAGTGCTTGCAACTGACAGTTCTAGAGTATTATTGCTTCTTTCTCTTTCTCTTCTTCACTAGTTGTTGCTGCTTCTTCTCTGCCAGCTCAAGCTGTAAGTACTTCTTGCAAGCTAACATTGGTTCATGTGCTGATAAAGTTAGGGTCTTGCTGCTCTGCCTCTCCTCTCTGCAGTTATTGCACCAGCTCTGGCTAGAAATGTGAGTATTCTCTATCATATTTCAGTTTACAGCTAATTCTCTCTAGATTGTTGTTGCTGTTCCCCCTGCTCTGGCAGAATTTGTGAATGTTATAGTTCTGCAGAATGCCTGAAATTGTCCAGCACTCTCTCTGCAAGACTAACAATGATGATTCCAGATCATCTTCACTCAATTGCCACCAGCTGGTACTTTTACTGGTGTATTGCAGACTAATTCAGTGGTTCTTCCAGGCCTCCCACCTCATACTGGGGCACAAGCTTTGTCTGCTCACAAAAGAGTATGGTGTCACAAGCCTATTCAAAGATCCATGCTTATTGCTGGTTTGAATAATTCAAATCAGTTAACTGTGCATGCTTAGCTTTATGAGGGTATTCTCATGATTCAAGCTGGGGTCCAGTCACCATCAAGACAGAAGTGCTCTGCCTGCAAGAGAGCTCAGCAAGACTATAGTAATATAGTCTTTACAGAGTGCATCTCTGTAGACTTGGGTCAAAAGTGTAACAATTGTCTATATCATGAGCATCTTGCTTGCTCTTTCCAGCAGTGAGATTATAGATAGTTGTTACAGGTCTTCATGAGAGAAAGCTGGAGACTCTTATATAGTTCTTAGCTTAGTTCTTTTTCTTGTTTTAAAATCAATTTAATTCAGTTCAGACTATATTTTTTCTCTCTCTAACCCATTTTCTAGCTCTACTACCTCCATCCATCTTTTTTGCAAACCAGACTTGTCCAGGTTTCTACTATGGAATTGTTGGAGTAGCTTTCTCAGTAAACAGACATTGCTTGTGGGCACTCATATCTTGTTCTTCTCATCATCATAATCTTTCTAATGTACTCTGTACCACAGCTCACAACACTCTCTCTTTAAGTTAATTATCTTACAGATCTAATACTTTTTTTCATTCTCATTCACCTCACAAACTTCATGATGAGGTGAGCTATCAATTTCTTTGTGGGTCTTGTGCTTGCAAAGCAGGAATACATGAAAAATATCATGAGTTTACAGATCTGGAGGCAGCTCCAGTCTGTAGACTCACAAGCCTATCTTCTCCACAATTCTACAAGGCCCATGCCTCAATAAATTCAATTTTTTGTTAGGCTGTGTGGTCTTGATATTGCAAAGGTCAAGCCACATCTTGTCTTCCATCTGAAAAGTCTTTACAGTATGCTTCTGGTCATAGTACTTCTTCTGGTAGGCTTGTGCCTTCATAAGTGATTTCTTGGCCTTCTCATGGAGCAATCTCATTATCTCCACCTGATTCTTTGAATTCTTGTACACATAGTCATACTTCTCAGGATCCAACAGATCTATTTACAGATTCAACCTATATATTAGCTGAAAAGATGATTTCTGTGTGGAGACCTGCCATGAGTTATTGTATGTGAACTCTGCCATTGGCAACTATATCATTCAGTTATCTTGATCATAACTGATATAGCTTTGCAGGTACTGCTCTAGCACACTATTCAGTCTCTCAGTTTAATCATCAGTTTGCAGGTGGAACACCATGCTTATTACTCTTGTGATCTTCAAGATGTGAGTTAAATTACTCCAAAATTCACTTACAAACAGAGATTCTTGATCTGTTACTATGCTCATGGGTAATCCATGTAATCTCACTATTTTGTGAACAAAGAGATGAGCCAATTCCTTTGATGTCAGCTTCTTTGTTGTAGGGATAAAGTGAGCCATCTTTATGAGCTGGTCCACTACAATCAGAATACAGTCAAACTGCATCTTCTCAAAATTCAGGCTTGCAGGAAGATCTGTAATAACATCCATGCTAATAGATCTCCAAGAGCAGTTCAGAATTAGTAAGGGTGATAGTTCTTCTTGAGATTTTCTGTAAACTCTTCTTGAGTCCTGGCAGACCCTACAGGCTTCACAACACTTCTTTACCAGTTCTCTCATTCTTGGCTAAAAGTATTTGTGAGCTATAAGCTTGTATGTTCTTGCTGTAGCAAAATGCCCTGCAAGAGATAGATCATGATGATGCCTGATCAGCTCTATTTGCAAGATCTTATTCTGAGAGATATATATACAACCATTTCTATAGAGGATGCTCTTCTTCTCTTTCCACATCATAAATTTCTTCATGCCTGTCTTAATGTCTTTGTGGACTTCAGCTGCATAGTTGTCACTTTGCAGTAGATTTGGTAATGATGCCAACAGGTTGGAGCTGCCCTTCTTATAAGAATTCTTCTTGCAAATCAGATCTTTGATCTTCTGAATCTGGATTACAATCTTCTTCACTTTGCATGTGTCTTTCAAGATAATCTTCACAAGTAGTTTCTTGGTTGCAATCCAAAGCTTTACAGAGGTGAGTTGTGTGTTCTCATCTCCTCTCTTCTCTCTCTGATTAGGAGAAACTTGGGCTGTCAGTCCCAACTTTTCTGTAATCTCTTGCTCCTTCACAAGCATCACTCTCAGTTGGTTTGCAGTCTCACAACTCTTCATGTTATCTAGACCAGTCTTCTTGATATAATCAGGTCTTTATGAGAGTTCATCTGCCAGGTTCTTGGTTTCTTTCACATGGTCAACCATGAATTAAAAGGCTGTCAGTCTTTGTGCTTAGCAGATCTGTCTTTGCAAGAGGTCTTGAGCAGTCTGGAAATAGCACAAGCTATCATGATCTGTAAGAACTTGAACTGGTGTTTACAAGTCTTTCAACCAGCAGTATTAATATCTAAATGACTCCACAATCACAAGCAGTTCTTGATTATGAATGCTATAATTCATCTCTGCAGATTGCATCTTCTGCAAATAAAACTCAACTGGAATTCAAACATCATTCTTTGCCAGTTGTGATAGGATACCATACACTGTGAAGCCAGATGCATCTGTTTCCAGTCTGGTCTTTTATTTTATATTAAAATGGTGAAGCATAACAGCTTCTGTAAACACTCTTTTTAGATTTATAAAGACTTTGTGACCTTCTTCAGTCATGAAAGTATTGGCCTCTCTTCTCATCTCTCTTCATGTGTGCCTGCTTAGCTTTGCTTCTTCTTTTTTTAGAAGAGCAGTCAGGCCACAGGCTATCTTAGAGAATCTTGGGATGAAGTGCCTGTAAAAGTTCACAAATTCTAAAAAGATCTGAATCTCTTTCTTACTGGTTGGCTCTGGCTAGTCAAGAATAGTGTCCACATAGCTCTTCTCCATAAGAACACTCTCTGGTGTTATAACATACTCAAGATAGTCAATCTTGCAAGCATTGAACTTGCACTTTGCCAGCTTGCAATAAAGACCTGCATTCTTGAGTATCTTAAATACCAATTTCACATGCTTCTCATGATCTTTCTTGTGAGTCAAGTACACAACCACATCATCAAGATAGGCCACCACAAATACATCCAGATATTCACTAAGTGCCTTCATAATATATGATTGGAAGGCTGCTGGTGCATTCACAAGTTCAAAAGATACTATCAAGTACTCAAATAGCCTCTGTGAAGTCTAAAATGCAGTCTTCCACTCATTCTCTTCACAAATTCTCAATCTATAATAGACATTCTTGACATCGAACTGAGTGAATATTGCAGCTCCTGCAAGCTTATACAATACATCTTTAATTAGTAGTAGGGGATATCTATTCTTGACCATTTTTGAATTCAGATTGCAATAGTTCACACACATTCTTAGTCTGTCATTCTTCTTGGATGTGAACAGAATGGGTGCTTCTGTGGATAACTTGAAAGAGCAGATGAACCCATGAATTAGAGCACTGCTCAGATATTCATGAAGAGTCTCTTGTTCAGCTTGCAAAAGTCTGTACATTCTTTCAAATTCTGGCTGCTTTTCCAGCTCAAGATCTATAGCCAAATCATCTTCATGATGTGGTGGCAGCTCTCAAGCCCTCTTGTCACTAAATACTTTCACAAGTTTGCAGTAAGCTTTCAGTATCTGGAGGTCTAGATCTGCTGTCACCACCTGTTCTGATTTGTGAAGAGTTATCATGTAGATGGGCTTCCCTCCCTTCACTAGCTTCAAGAGATTAACTGGTTTAATCTTTGTGAGTGGATTGTGACATACAGTTTGAAACTCTAGCCTTAGTTCTCTGAAATACATCTTGGGATTGTGTCACTGCAGCTAGCTCAAACCCACTAGCATCTCATCTTTTATGTTTGTGACCATCACTTGTTTATGGAACAACTGTTAGTTTTTCTGAGAGTCACAAGCTTCAAAGAATATATTTGCAATCTCTTCTGTGAGAGTGATATTCTCATGATTTATAGCAGTTTCAATCTCTATAGGCATCTTGTGCATCTCTAGTGCTAGCTTCATGGCCAATCATGAACTAATCACTAGAGATTGATAACCAGAGTCTATTAGTGCTGACCAGGTGATACTTCTGTCAGTTGAGCTTCACATGCCTAGAATAATGGGGGGGAGAGCAAGAAGACTTTTCTTGAACAACTTCATTATATTGATTCTATCTACTTGTGGCTCCCCAATTTCCTATTTGCTACTCTTCTTCTTGGGACAGTCTTTTGTGAGATGTCTCTTTTAGTTATACTCAAAGTACTTTTCTTCTTTTCTTAAAGCTTTATAATTCTTGATAAGATCTTTCTTCATCTTCTGAGCAGGTCTCTGAAGTTAACTTCTCTTATCTGTTTGCAGTCTTGAGTCATCAGTCTTCATATCTCTGTAAGTACTTCCAACTGAATTGATAGACTTCATGTGTAAGGCATTCTTTTCAAGAACTGCTATCACACTTGATTAGAGTTGAGTAGTCAGTGCTATTATCTCATCAATATCATCTGGTATTTCCAGCTGTTCATTCAGTTTAGCTTGCATGAGCTCATTCAAGTTCTCTATATATAGGTTCTTCTTCATTTTTTCAAAACTTTCAAATTCTTCATCAATTTCTGTTATGAGATCTAGAAATTGTTGGCAGTAGACTTGGTCAGTTTCATCCAAACTCTTGTGAAGATTAAAGATTGCTTGCCAAGAGTTTTGTGTACAGTTTACTAGATCTCCTAGTCTTATGTGTAGAAATTTCTTGAGACCATTTCAGTTATTCTTCAGTGAGTTGTTTTTGTGATAAATCTTTCAGAGATCTTTTTCAATGTAATCAAGTCCTGTGAGAGCATATGTGAGGGTTTCCTCATCATTCAATTTGCTCATGTTGTGAGTAGATTTAATGCTGGAGATGAACTGCTGATATTTTATATAGAAGCCAGTCTGATAGAGCTTTGTGTGTTGTGGTAGTCTCAAGACTGACAGATACTTTACAGATGTTGGGTTGGAGATAACTATATCAAGAGATTTACTTCACAAGTACTTTTGGGTGGTCTGGAGAGTATTTAACTTTTCTTGCCATTTCACCATTCTCTTTAGTAGTTTGGTTTTCTCATGAAGTTGTTGGATTTCATCTCTTAATGCTAAGATAGACTCTCTCTCTGAGATCACAATGCTAGTTTCAGTTTCATCCACAGTTGAGAGAGTTGAGATGGTTTCAAGATTTGTCATCTTCTTGCAAACTTGAGTTTGTTCTTTAAATAGATTTTCTGCTGGTGTCCCAGGTTCACAAGCTTCAGGGGGTTGGCTTCTTCATGTTAATACTATTGTCAGGTGTCACCAAAGAAGAGTGGCAAAATGTGAGGATTATACATGTGGATCAGCATGACAATGAATCTATAGAAGGAATTGTATATAGAAAAGAGTACACAAGATAAATGGTCTGGTATTGGCAGCTATGTACAACTTGTAGACAAGATTGCCACTGGCTCCCAACAAGGGGTTCACACAGTGGCAGCCTTTTATGTGTGCTCGCGAGCACATGACTTAGTGCCTTGTGAGGACACATATACTCCCAACAGCTTGCAAGCCCAGGCCCTGGGCCCTTGCAGGTGTTGTTCATCCATGTAAGGGGTTCACGGGCGAATCCTTACATTTTTGCTGCTTCTACCAGTCCAGTGGCCTTGAGACTGCTGCTCAGTATGCTGCTGTTTCTGAGTGTCAAGTCTATTGTTGCCTTGCTCTGCTCTTTTGTCTTCTTGTTGTACAACCACCCCTTGGCCTCCTTCCTGATCATGTTTTTGATGCTGTTGATTACAGTGAGGCTGCACAGTGCCTGCTACAAACATGTTATCATTACTGTCATAACAACTGTCAGCTTTCAAGACCTGCTCAGCAGCCTCTGATAAATATTGCATCATATCTGCTCCTGCCAGTCAAATGCATAAAGAGCTAGATGGTACATTCTCAAATCCATCTTCTTTGGTGCTACTGTAGGGTCAGCCATGCTCGGGTCTTTTTTAACAGATGACTTACAAGTACTCAACAAGGCTAAAGTTCCACTTTTGAAAGGGAAAGAGAGAGTCATATACAAGCTGGACTGCTGTCTGCAATGGTCACTTGTGGCCATCCTTCTCCGCATTCCCACAACACCATCAATAGTGAACATGAGAAGGATAAAAGAGTTGGCCAGGATATTCAGAGAAGTGTAGAGGTGTGGTCAAAATCTGTACACAGATGTGATGGCCTTTGAAATCAAGAATGAAGTGACTGAAAGCTGGTCCAGCTTCTGCAAACACAAACTTCTTTTGCAAAGTTTCATTTTTCCAATCAACAGAACACAAATAAACACATTGTGAGTGAAGTGAGTATGAAGATGAGGCATCAAATAGAGAGGGATTCATGTTTGATTCACCATTCTGCTGAGGTTTGGAGGAAAGATGGTGAAATTCTCTGTCACCAAGACCTGACAAAAGTGTCAAAGTGTCAACTCATTGATCACTTCGCAAATCACCCACATGTCATTCCCAGGAATGACTTTGGTGGATCTGCTAGTTCAAGGATCAGCCCTCTTGAGTGGATCTGGTGATGGGTGCCAAAGTTCTGAGGCTCCTGAGCACCAATTACCAAAGCACCCATCTGAAGGAATGGTGAGTTTTTGCCTCAGGCTTGCAATTACAGTCAAGACTTCGCATCACAACTCCAAAAGAATATTGTTGGGTGCTTCTTGAAGAACATTGACAGCCAACTTGACCTGGACTTGGTCCTACATTCTAGTGTTTGAGTTGTGGAGGAGATAATTTCAAAATCTCTGCAGCTAGTGGTCCTCAGGATCCACACCACCAGCAAAGGCTGCTGTGATTCCCCACATGCGCTTGCTCTGCTGACACCTCAGAGAATTGGTTGCTCATGTTGTTATGAATAGATGTCAACTGAGTATTGCATGGACTACTTGTCACTAATTGTAATCACAATCCTGATGTGTCTTGCACATACAGCAAGTGTGGCTTTTGACTAGCAAATTGCTCAACCTGCTCTCTTCAGGGAATCATTTCACCTGAATCAGAATTTACTTGGTAGCTGCATCCACAAAAATGGTTCTCCAGAGCAATGGCATAAATGGGCTACCCTCAGAATTCAAAGACCATGCTAATGAAGTTTGAGAGGAAGATCAAGAATGGATACACCCTGTTTGTGATATCCTGCCAGCTATCCTCAGCACTGGCTTAGTCTGTCTTTCCTAGTCAGGCTCCCAGCTACCAGTTCTTCTCTCCATCCCTGCCCACAGTCACAGTTCGAGGCTGCTTTTGAACATTATAAAGACAGCCATATCTCCCTGGAAATCAACTGCTCTATCCAGCCATGGACTACACAAGGCCTTTCATGCATATTAAGCTCCTCTTTCCACTCTGTCTCACTAAGTTTCTGGCTCTCTCCTCATGATTGTTCCTAACACATGAACAATCATGAATCACAAAGCTTTTGAGGCACAGAACACTGTAATTAAGTGTCATTATCTGTTCTGCCACTCAACTTACATTGCTCCTTTTGCACTGCAGTCCAGGGAAGCAGAGTGGTGCACCTGTACCCAAGCATCTATCAGGAGCCCTGCTGAAAAGCATCAACATGTTCCATATCAAACTTATCACTTTGAGAATGCAATGTGCAGGCTAGAGGGCTTCAAGCATAATGATAATGCTGCAACCATTGTGGTGGAAGTTCTAAGATATATCCCCCCTAAGTGCATTGTTGTAATTCCAATTGATATGTAAGACATTGTCTCTCATTATTCTGACATTTTGGCTGATCAGAGAATAGAAATGTTTGGCCATTCATTAATGACTCTAGAATAGGACATCAGGCTTGGATGTCAGTTACCTCCTTCCTCCATTAGTTCCCCACTCACAACATTATAGAACCATTGCAACATACAACACCATTATCTTCACACAATACTTTGTATGTTCAGTTGAAGAGAGCTGCCTTTTCCAGCATGCAATAAATTGAAGTATTAATATGTCTGGTGTCTTGGAATACTCAGAAAAACAACCCCAAGAAAAGCATGGGATATTTGAAGTCACTCTTAATGTGTTCTGGTATAGCTGTCCAGTCAATGCCCTCACCTCATGTTACCTGCCCAAATCTTTCCCTTTCTATGAGATACCAGCAAGGTCTCTATTAAGTATGCGTCTCCTTGAGGCTTGTCGGGAAGATTTTATCATATTTGAGAATATGCCCACAGTTGAAGAGCTTGCTTAAATTTCCATTCCCAGCCTGTTTGGAAGAACAGAGCACTGAAGCTTTTTCAGCTTTTGTGTGGTCATGCTTTTGAGGGCTCCAGACACTGGTTCATTTTTCTGAATCACTTCAACTGAGGAGGTATTCATCATGGGTAGAGGTGCCTTTGTGTTAAGAAAAACATTTACAGCTAGAGGGAGATGGGCAGGAGATGCATTATTTATAGACTTTGGATTCTTACTTGCCCCCACACCATCAACATATAAAACATAACTTGGCAGTTTTTATTATCAGTGGGGTACTCTTCTGAGCTCAGTCTTTTAACAACATAACACAGGATTTAGGCTATCTTAAGAGAGCCATACCTACTTCTGCTGTTTACCCACATTTGGTTGAATGTCTTCTCTTTGACTGAAATACCAAGGTGAGTGGTTCAAATAGAGCTCAATGCTGGCATATTAATGTATAATAGAAATGGCAACTGAATCTGGTGATTCTAGCAGCGCAAATGTCACAGATACCTCAATGCAAACATCATTCCCCAATTGTGAAGATAAGATTGTTGCACTCCAAAAACAGCTCTTGGCTCTCAAAAAAATAATCCACAATTCCATTGACACAACAACAAAATGCATTGGGGAGTTGAATAAGGTGGTGATGTCAGAGAAAGAACACGGGAAATTGAACAGCAGAAAAGATAGGGCTTAACATCAGATCTCAATATACTCTTCCATTACCATTCCATCACATCTGCTGCAGTAGATACACCAAGGAATACCATGGTTAGCATCTCGAAAGTCATTATCCGAGCCCTGCTGTTCAATGAACTACTTGGGGCTATTCAGAAAGCTGCTTAGCCTATGTGAAACATCACCTTGTAAAGACAGTGTGATTGGCTCATCCAGATGTCAGACAGAGAACCAGACCAGCCAGTAGTAGCAACAACAGTGGGTACAGACATCATCTTCCAACAAACTCAGACCTAGATTCAAATCATCCTTATAATAATCTAGACAGCCGGGGCAAAGGGAGGCCAACACCTGAATGGTAGGCTGTGCTGGACTACAGCATCAAATAGTGCCGAGACAAAGAAAAAGGCCAGAGCTAAACTGTGGCTTTGCATCCAGCTCAAAGACAAAGCTGGACACCAACAGACACAAAGCACCATGTTTGATCATTTCTTGCAACTGTACCAGCAGTCATTGGAAATACCAGAATAAGACATACATGGTATTGGCCCTGTTCATCAGCAGGCGCGCACTCAGAGGAACATTTATTCAAATGTAATTTTCTCACATTTGATCATTCATTACACTCCAGAGTCCTTCCATGGATCCCTCATCATCATACAAGAACATGAATGTGTGATAACCATGGGTGGCCCATCCATCTACCATAGCATTACAGAAGCCTAATTGCTTGGGGAAAGGGGCCACCAGATAACCTGTGCCAAGTAATATGAGGGCATCCAGTATCAGTTTTGCTGGCTACACACAACAAGTCTCCAACAGCCCTAGAACAGCAGGATTGTTGTTCTGTGGCCACACACCACCATCCTGGAAACTGCTAATGCTGTCAACCATAATTGAGGGAAATAGCCTGTTGATATCTTAGAAGTGTAAATGAAGATCATCAAAGGGGAATCATACAGTGGAGCAGCAGAAGTGGCTTGGGCTCTGAGGGTAGAAGTTAGTGGAAAAATTCAAACAAGACTGTCCAACCAAAGACCTACACTTTCCAGATAAAAGGTTCCCTCTTTCCCCCCCTTTCAAAGCACCTGTATCCTACATCCAGAGTCAGCAAGAAAACATATAACAGGGTTACAACATACTGTGATTTTTCCTCAAGAGCATCTCAGCATTGTAATTAGTGAAAAGGAACAGGCTCCCATTGTCAATGGTGGCAGCCATGACAGCAACCTTGCCACCCAACACTATCAACCATGGTGTTTCAAACATCCGCACAGTGGGCCCAAAGTGTCTGGCAAGAACATTATTCAAAGCCCCACCATCATACTTGCCATCCAATGTCAAAGGCCATATAAATCAAGTTATCCAGCACCCCTCCTGCTGTTCATTAAGAAACTTTTCAAAAAGGCATACAAAGAAATCTTTTGTCTCCTCAATATCATATTTGCCAGTGTTGATATTCAGAACAATATAACCACCTGCAAGAATCAGCAAGTAGGCCTTTAGCAGAAAACAACACATACCCGAACTAGTTCCAATGTTAAAGTCTACCATAATGAATAACAGCAGATCAGGGCCCAGATGCTTCTGCATGAGGTATAAAATTTGAATTGAAATTATGACACGGGAACCACCTCTATCAATGCTGAGCACACAGGGTCCAGCAGTACATAGTTTGATCTGGACCTTCAGAGAAACAGGGTCTTGGCAAATAATGCACTCCCAAGTGACAAACTCACTGTATGCGCCAGTAATTCTCTCACCATGGATCTGCACGCATGTGTCACACATGGAATAGCCACACAGCAGGGGGTGCTGTGAATGCCATAGTATACAGCCAAAGCAGGATGAATTGAACTTCAAGGCCTGCCATCATTCCCTCCTGCAGGTTATATTGTATCAATGAAGCTGATGGGATGGCTCCCCACTCATCTCCATTAACTCAAAAAGCTCTGCAAGATTATCCTCAATGTGCTGGCTCAGCAACTTAGCAAAGGTGTGAGAGAAAGAAGCCTATTGCAGGGCACTGTAAACTGTATTCCAATACAGGGTACAAAAGACAGCACAAGAGCAGAATTCTAGATGGTGGTGAGCTACAGGCTGAAAATGGAAGGTCAAGACAACATACTGTGCATATGTGGGAGATAGGCATCCATCAGGATTGCGGAGGACACATATGACACAAGCTCATCATAACAAACATGCAGCTGTGCTGTCTCTTCTGTGAAGAACACCTGGAGGTGTGACATGCTTGACCCATTGGCAGCATTTGCTCTCCTCAATGACTGTAGAAAATTGAAGGAGCCAAGACAGTCCTTGGTCATGTGCTGTAATGCATCATGGAAGAATGTGTTTAGATGTACTACTGAGAATGAAAGCCAGTTGGCCTTTCAATCCCAACAAATCACATGCAACTTCTCTGTGATATCACACTCCAGATCCACATAACAAGTGTCAGCTGGGGACACTTCTTGCAGACATGATATCTTAATGTGAGCAAAAGACAAAAAGAGGCAGTCATTCTCAGGGTGTAGAAGATCAAGAAGTAGATCAGTTTCATCCAACATCTGCCAGGTCACACTGTCATAGGGTGTGGCGCCAGTGACAATGATCACCCACGGGTGGATGCAACAAGGCAAGCTTGAAGCAGATTCAATGGTCACCCATGTTGTTAACAGGGATCATACACCCTCTATGCCACCAACATTATCTGTAAAGATACAAATGACATCAGAGAAAAGAAAGAGAAGACAGGAGAGGATAATATCACAAGACTTCTCAAAAGATAGAGAGGGCCAGTTGACTGGAAGGGTCTCTTTCCAGTGGCAGATCTTCAAACTTTCAAAGGCAGGAGTGACTGGGTGATATGTTGGATCACAGTCCACAAAGATGCACGGGTGCCTTAACTTCAGGGAAGTTTTGTCTGCCCAAAGATGTATCACCCCATAATGCTGCCAAGAACTGCAGCATCCATTCTTACTGATCCACCATAGGGCCGCATCCTTGTGCCTCCAGCCTAGAAAAAATTATCAGATGGGGAAATTTTTCCAAGGGCACATGCATTTCTCCAACCATGTGTGCAAGCCTTGAACCATCAATAACCTTGGGTCCAACTTCTTCTTTCACCAACTCAAGCCACAAAAGGTGATTGTACTGCATCATTTTGCTCAGATGGTTTTTCCTATGATTCTCCTGCTAGGACATCTCTATGATATCCTGTTGATTTTTATATCAACTAGGTAGCCATGATTAATTTGGCTTGTGGCATGGCCACAAAGCTACTTTAAGGTGGCCTCCTGGAATCAAGTGACATTTGATGAACTACTCTAATTCAAAACACTGCAAATAGACAGGACCAAAGTAAAGAAATAGCAAACCAAAATGAAAACCCCCAGCTGACAACTTTGCTAGAACCAGCTCCTCTTTCTTGATTCACATGGCTGCTGGATTCCTTGAAAATACCTTATAATGTTTTCCGCAATCCATGTGGTGTCCAACTCAGGAAGTATAGCATTTGAATGAAGCAAATCTTGACCAAAATCCAATTTCTTAAATATCTCAACAGCATCAGGAAAAGCCATGAGGATATGTGAAAAGACAGTATGACAGACCAGTTGGTTGCTGGATTGTCTATCAGACAGTCAGCATCCAACATAATGTGCAGGGCCCAAGGACCAACATGATAGTGGCCAGTCTATTTCTACAGAGAATAACTGCACCAAATGACAACCAGTCAGACACATTCTGCCATCTTTTCCCCAGCTCAATACATCTTTTCAATCTGCATCAACATGTTGCCTTTTCTCAGCTATCTATTGTGTCCCAGTTTTCATTATAGATCTTCCTCAGCACAAACTCCAATGTGCCCCCACAGACCTTAGCCACCAATCAAATCAAATTGTCATTGATCACCTGCTGGTAGCATTGATATTGGAACATGCATGCTAATTACAGCTGTACCAACCGCGTTTGCTCCTCTGTGTCAAGAATATCAATACACTAAGATATCTTGAGAAATGAGTTCAGGTGAGAATTGTCTTCTGCGGGCAGAAACTCCTCAACACTGCGCCAGAATCCCTGTTTCTGCCAGTGTGGATACTCATATATGATTTGGACAGCATCTGCACAAAGAATGTATTCCTATTAGAGCATTATTACTGCTGGAATTGTGACTGCTGTATTGTTTTTCTGCAGCTCTGGAACATTTGTTGTGGGCTTGTTACTGTTGGGCCTAACATTCTCAATACCTGCATTTGCTTTGCATTTTCTGTGAATGGCCTGAGATGCAATGGCAATGATCTTTTCCATGGTTTCCTTAGCAAGCAGTGACAGTCGGGTTGATTCCATGGTCAGCTGAAATTCAAAAGGCCAGGGTCAATTCAATCAAGCTTGACTAACAGTGATTAAAGTTTAGATCTCTGTCCGGCCATTGTTACCTTATATATCTAGAATCTTGTGTTAATTTGCTGACACATTCATTGACCAAGATTGCTGGCATAGTCTAAAACAATATATTTCCAGTGATCCTGAAATTCAAGCAATCTCTCATGATTACAGGTTGAAACCAAAGACCCAAAAATAGGCATGTCAAAATCTGTAGCAATGCTAAAAATAAACCAAATTCACCTGAAACTCTTATTTTTGGCATGGCTTACTATTTTTAGAAGTACAGATTGCTTGGAAGGAATCTATTTTCCAGGCTCCCCTGAGAGAAATCTAGCTCTCTCTCTCTCCCTCTCCCAATTTCCAGGGGGCACCACCATCTTTTGGCAGTGGTCTCCCCTGGGAAGAATCTAATTTCCAGGGGATACCTTGATTGACAAGGAGCAAGATATGCCCGAGTTCTATTCAAGGCATCTAGTCACAGTTGTGATCACCCAGCTCTTCTCATACATGGTTGGCAAGGGTGTGCAAAATAGATATGTTTGCACTGGAGAGACATTTATCTTTCTTCATATTCCTGATAAGCCATCCATCATTCAATATGCTGTGTGTGTGCCAAATCAGGATGTTCATAAGGGCTTTGAAGAGGATTTTGAGTGTACTGCAGTCACATGGGTGGTTGCATTTACCCTGCTAGCACTGGCCATGCCACCATCATTTCAGGAGTGGCATGATGTGGTGGCAGAGCTTGATGTCTGGCCAGTTGAATACATAGAGGTTCTCCAGCAGACCCCAAGCACCAAACAGCTGAAAGGTCACAACATTCTCTCCCCTGTTTACTGTGGCAGGAAAGGCAATCTCTCTCCATTTTATAGATTGTAAAACCATACTTGAAGATGGAGTACATTATCTTGCTGGTCTCCTGAGTGAAGATAGCCAGACTTGTATCAAGGAGAAACAGAAAGGAGAAGTATCAAGTAGAAGGCAAAATGGACATCAAGAATGACAAGTCAGCATCACTCTATCACAGACTGGGAACTTCAGACAAGTCATCCATTCCCATTCAACCCCAAAGCAATGCATTTCTGACAGCTTCTAGATGATCCAATCAGACTGGACAAGGCAGTGAGCCCCAACAGCTTCATTGCAATCCTGTCCTCTGGACAAACAGTGAAAAAGATATCCAGCAGATATGAAGTGTCTGTCAAGATAATATTAGAAGATTTGCGAGACTTTGGAGGGTTGGGTTTGTTGGAAATGTATTGAGGTAGCAGGAATTGTTGTCTGAGATCCAGAAACAGATAGTTAATTGAGTTCAAAATCTGTACACCCTGGCACCAGTCTCCCCTCACACCTTTCTCAACAAAGCTACCAATGGCAGCTCCACCTATCAACCTCAATTGTAATCAAAGAGTTCAGAAGTGCTCCAGCACTTCAATTCATTCTTTGTAGAGTCTTCTCCACCTTAATGAAATGGCCATGGTCTCCTCTGACAATCCTGCCTGCTCTTCAATTTCCTTCAATTTCACAGAAGAATCAGGATGTATCATCACTCAGGCTTCTCACACTCTCCATAAATGCTGAAATGCATCCAAGTACAAGAGTAAGACAATTATTCTCTTGCTGTTATCTTTCTAAAAAGTAGTTACATAGTCAAACACCTTCACTTACTCTGAGTCTGTCTGACACACTGACACCCATGCCAGAGACACAGCCTCAATAGCAAGCCAGATAGATATCTGTCAAAGCTTGATAAAATCACTGGGTCTGCCTTGAGTTAAAACACACCACAGACAACTCAACAGACACCTTATAATCAACATTCAGCTGCAGAGAGACACCCCTCAACTACCAATAAGTCACACATTGCCTTTGAAGTGTTGTCTTCACATATAGAAAAAACCAAACAGTGAGACAATGTACAAACTGACAGATGTAGATAGTGATCCTGCAGAACTTGCAGCCCCTGCCAACAGCAAGCAATCTACCATACAAATTCTTCTGTCAGAACATTGGCAGAACCATTGTATAGCCCAAGAAAGACAGAGCTTTCTGGCTGGCAGGGCAGGGGTAATTGAGTATGGTTGGAATAATGGATGGCATGATGTTGGTTTGCCTTGATGAACAAGCATAACTGGATATCATACTTGTGATGGGGCATGTGGACCTGAAGCAGACTGTCAGTGAGAGCTAAACACAGATGCTTAAACCATCTTACAATGATTGTTCTGAAAACATCTAATTAATTATTGCTGTGTTCTAATATGCTGTGCAAGCACCAGCAGCATTGCACAGGGTGCAGAATATCAGCTAGATCACTAAGTTCTTTAAAGATAAGCAAGATGAGCTTAACTGGCAGACTGGAGGGTGAAACCATTCTTCTGTTGGACTGAAAACAAATGAGACTTTGGTGTTATTCTGCTCTCATCATCCTAATGATATCCAGCAGCCATTCAAGAGAATCCAATTCATACTGGTGGTGATCTGGTGCAGGAGAGTGCCAACTAGCACACCAGAAGCAGCTGACTTACATTCTTCCCATAACTAGTTACATGCAAATGAAAAGACAACATCAACCAAGATGAGGAAACAGAGGGTCCACAGAGGCTGGGTCAATGGGGATGCTAGTAAGAGATTGTTGTGTGAGGCAGCCCAGAAGACCTCAGAAGATCCTGGAAGCTCAGGCAAAGATGTGTGAAGAAAAGCAGTGAGGGAAGATTACCCAGGAAGAAGCATGATTACACAAGAATGGGTCCAAAAAAGATTTAAGACCAACATACAACAGCCGGGATTTGCTGGTGGTCACCCACCCAACTACTAGCCGGCCGGCAGGTGCCTTAAGTACGGCTGAGCGGACGGGAAGCCCTGTTTTCCACCTCCTATGGTCGTATGTACTTACCATATGTACCATGGAGTACTTGACTCATCGCTGTATGCCACCCTGCATATCTAATTTCATTGCTATGGAGATCTAGCATTGCTTGCAATGTTCAACCCCACTTTGTCCTCAGCTAAAATTCCCCCCATCCTTATATAGATATAAGCATATATGTACATATACTCCGCATCGACCTTGGGGAGTGGAAGATGGGCGGAAGACGTCGTGGACGTGTTGGATGGCGTAATGGATTGGTGGCGTGGGGAGGCTAGAAAAATATCAGCCTGGCACATTCACTGGGGATGTTCTTCCGGTACCAACTGGTCCATATATTGGGTTTATCGGACATATTTCACCGCCTAGCTTGGGCAGGACCAAGAACAGGCAGCCTATGTTGCGGGCAAAATCAGATTGCAGATACACCTCCTCATAAGACTGAGATTTCACACGTCATGGTAAACAGTACGGCCAATCATCCAGGCCGGACCGTTATCCCTATAATTCAAGGTCAACTTGAAGTTCTGGATCCTAATGGATGCCATACATGCTATGTGACATCTCAGCCTGTGATAGTGTGGCTGCAAGATTATCTTGATGTTTTGAAGTTATGACAGCCCGAATTCTGGCTGCGCAGTTAGTTTTGGCTGTTACATATATAGCAGTGCACTGGCAATCGGTGCCATGCCACTCTTTCGTCCTATCTTACCATCTAATGTCCTTTTAAGCCTAAAAGATCTCTTCCGTTTCCATCTGATACCTGGACTCTCGCTTGCGCTATGTGGTCCATTCTTGGAACACGGTCCTTCATTGATGGCACGCTTGCGTCGCGGAACGACATCGCCTCTCAGAACGCAGACTTCCTGGGGCTATCATCGTTTCCAGCGTTCGAGTGGTACACGTGGAGGGCATGTCGCAAATATTTTGACGAGACAAGTCGGCCAAATCAAAGCCGAAGTTTATGCCCATCTCTTGACTATTCGACTGAGCAGGAGATATAGGCTGTGCAACAGGAAGGTAAAATAAATGAATTTGGTGGGAAAAAGACAGCAGCCATGCTAGCCACTCTTCGCCTAGTTCTCCAATTCAGGCCAGAGAAACAAGCGACGGCAGAGTCGGCGATGTTTTCTGAATGGATAAGGTGGAGATTGCCAGAGATGGAAAAAGCTCAGAAACTTGAGTGCATATGAACACTAAATCATGCATATGAGTAGGAGCAGAATTGAATGACAAAAGAGTGTCCGGGTTAATTCTTGAAACTGGCTGTAAATATATGGAGAACGTACAAAAATATCCACGTTCTATATGTTTGCACCGGTTTCCAAGCCACAACCAATGACAGATTTGGTGCACAAGATTGCTTTCGCTAGATAGGGTAAAGTACTCCAGTCATCCTGATGATTGGGCCTCGGAGACAGTCAGAAACTGACAATTCTTTGTATGTTCCTTGTTTTTCTCAGGGACCCCAAGTCATTGTGGTAGCGGTAGGCCGGTCAGACAATGAAGCTGGAGATTCATATAGCCATCAAGTACATACAATCGAACGTGACCATGATAGTCTTAAGTTTTAGATCTAGAATACAAGATATAAGCCTGACATTGTCCGAATGAACCGATTTGTATGAACATAATCCAAACCTCTAAGAAGAAAACAAGTATATGTCTTGACGATTGGAATGGGAAGTATGCTATCCATAAAGCACCGCTGAAAAAGCCAAATCGGCTCCCTCATGGGCTCATATGTCAGACATACATGTCTTCCCTGCACCTATGCTATCGGGCATACTGCTGTAGAATCGTAGGTCTCACTTCTAGGGCGGAGGTATAGGAAAGGGTGGTTCGACATGGGTACTGATTTATTAATCCGGTCGAGTGGAATATTATGCAGGTATCCAGAATCCACAGAGATATCTGAGGCTTTCCATGGTCAGCAAACCCCCTTGTACCGTACAATTTGAATAGAGCTTCGGAGGGCTTTTCGACGTCAAGTCGACAATAGCGTAACATATTAATTACAAAAAGAGGGCATCCAAATCGAAAATAAAAAGGATGGAGCTAAGGTGTTCATTCCGAATCTCTCACGGATACGTATTGTCAGCATCTACAGCAAAAAAAAAAGAGCCAACTGTCAGTAATCGCGGGGCGGGTTGACACATAAGTATAAGCACTTTCATGTTGGATGCTTACTCGGAAAGTCACAGGCAGAGAGTTCCCGACACGCTTCCTCTTCATGGGTTTGTACCACGTTTCATCAAGTGTTGTTTCATACGAGAGCACCTTCTAGCTAGCAGAATCTAGGGAGCGGTGTCTTTGAAAATGGGGACGGAATGGACAAGTAAATGGGTGGGTGTATCGGGATTGTTCGCAGGTGCTGGAAGGAGTTATCTCAAGGAAATGATTCAAAAAAAAATTCTGGGATATGCCGTTAGAGCTCAATATTCCAATACGAGCATGAAAAGACCTCCGTGGGGAGTTAGAAGTAACATGACATTAGGAGTATACACACGCGGATACAAAAATCCTTTTCACGGTGGTATGATTGCTGTCGTTGACTTAAAACTGAGAGGAAAAGAAATATGGGCCTCCAGTTCCAAACCAGCTCATCCTTGCGGTTCTGGAAGACTTGTTGATTGAATTTGTGCCAAATAATCGCCATTACGAAGTGGCCATAGATATTTGAGAACCGAAGAGGTCCATTGGATCTGATCCAGGATACTGTTCGTCAGGGCGCTGACGAGGCAAAGTGCTGGATCCAACACCGTATTTTGAACATAGTTCTTGAACAACGAAAAATATGCACTCCGTATTTGAAGTTTGAAGCAAGCTCACCCCTGGTATCACATATCACCTTCTTTGGGGACATCTGCACACCCGCAAAGCCAAACACAGGCTGCACCATAATGATGCACAACCCAAGTTGTTACTTTGCGCCTTCTTTTTATTTTTTTTTTTATTTTTATTTTTTTTCCCCTCTCAGCAAAAAGGAGCACGCAGTCATGGAGAGCTCTGCACCCCCTATCTGCAGCCAACGGGGATAGAACTTCAAAGCCTCCGTCACTATCAGGACATCCCCGACCAAGAAGTCCTTGGCGTGCTGGGAATATGAAAACGCGAAGTGTGAGTGTTCCCGTGTCCAAATTTTGCAGGCTTGTCGAGTGGGCTTTGAGCGGATTCTAGCAGAGTTTGTAAGATACGTTCTCTTCAAACAAAAAATTATTAATAGAAACAGGGGGCAAATCCTCTTAATTTACTGTGCGGGCCCCTTTTTTTTTTTTTTTAAACAAGACGGCGACCAGTCCCATAGAGAACCCTGAAAGAAGGTTCGACCCGATGCACCCCCCCACTCTGCTGGCGGGCTCGCCCTTGGACTAAATGGGCGCCGGCGTGCCCAGGAGCCAGGGACTAGGAAACCTCGGGAGGCGGCCCAAGCTGCAACTGTGCCACATGGCAAACAGCAGCGTTCTGCCAAAGTGGCACTCCGTAAAAGCTGGAGGTCTTTCCCCAGCCATGATCCGATAGTCGGCGGAGACAAGGCAGATCTTGGTGAATTCGGGATTTAAATCAAATCCCGAATAGCGGAATCATTGGTTTTTTGTGCCCAACAGGGTCCGTTGAAGTCAGCATCAACCTTCCAACGTTTCTTCAGGCGGGTGCAGATGAAGATCAGGAAATTCCGAGCTGCTGAGGAGCCGCAGATCCTTTTGTTGAAGGGATACATATCATGCACCTAGTGAAATGTGCAGAGCACGGAGTATTTCCCGCTCTTTAGGCTGTGGCTCAAGAATCGATATACATACAACGCTGGAGCGCCAGTGGGCCATTCACTCGAGCATGTCACTGGCCGTTTGTCCTACTCAACCCCTCCCAGAAGAATATAATCAGGAATTTCCTGAACAACTGCCGTAAATAGTTGTGATAGGCGTTTGCGGCCCAGGCTAAAGTTAATTTCTGTTTGCTTCTCTCGAACGGCTAGCATCTTCTCGGTACCGCTCAAGGGACTCCTGGTTACCTTGGGATGAGAATCCGGATGCATGGATCTTGCCAGTTCCCTCCTCCCTGCACCAACAAACTATTTTTGTGATGAGTGGACTTACTACAGCATAACTATGGCCTGGGGTCCCTCGTTGTGATGCCAAGGAGGTGAGACCCATGCCAATTAGCAGAGCGGAAGGATCCATGGGGTCAAAGCCCTGATGTAAAAATTGTTCAAAGGCACGTAACGTTTCCATTTCCGGTTCACCGTATCGGCAGGTCAGAAATATGTAGGTTCCGTCTGATCGGGTTCTCCCAAAGTGCTTGGGCCCCCTCTCCCCCCCTCGGAGATGTGAGACATCTTGCAGCTCCCGATCGACGTCAGTTTGCGAAGCCGCCCACATCGATCGAATGCTTCGCATCAGTGGTAATGCCATGCTTCATGTCAAGAACGTTCCCGGCCATATTACTCCGTACCATAGGCCTGATCGTCATGAAATTTTCCGATTTTGAGTTTGTTGTGAGAATGCAACCGACCCAGCGTTTGACCCTTGAACCGGATGGCGGTCCGTGTTTCTTTTTGATCGGGGGACAATAATGCGAATTAGGGCCACGTCATTTGAGAGGTTGATATCATCCCATTTGCTAGGGAGCTCGGGCAAGAGGAAATCATGCATTCTGTGCCTCTGCGGTATTCCTGGCTTTGTATCGATCTTACCGGGGGAGCCTCACTGTTATTTATGAGTATTTTGACAAGATATTTGTTGAAAATGACTAGCAAACAAAAGATGTCAATACTCTAGCTGTTTCAGCAGGATCCCTATCTAAAAGTACTCATTTGTCTCGGTGCATATCTATGGACTTGTTCCCTCCATCCAGCTTTATCTTGCACTTCGGCGGACGCTGCTCGAGGGCTTATCTCACTAAGAGAGGCAAACAAGCCGGGATTGGTGTATATCCGCAAATGAAAACTGCATGTATTGAACATGAAAATATGCCCAAATTCTCCTAGATCTGCCAGTACCAGTGATTCGGTTAAGCACGTCAAATATCTGCCATCCATTATTCTGAGGCGATGAACTGCTGAGTGAGAGTAAAAAATGACTGCAAATATTACAGCTCTGCCTGTACTAAACAAATCTTTGCAACTGTGGACAGGGAAACAGAAGCAGACAACTCAAAAAGGAAAGCTAATAATATGCGTCTGTGGTTCATACCTCTGAATCTTTGCTAAAGAATTGAGTTGTTAATAACAAACAGAGATTCTGGCTCAGCAAAATCAACAATCCCGAAGTGGCAAAGGTGACAGGCGGAAGCTGTCTTCTAGCTGCTAGATCTTGGGCTCTCATTCAGCCACACGATAATTACTAACATTCACCGCCGGCACAGACATTGTGCTAGATGGGCTTGCCATGGATGATAAGGATGCTGCGGGGTCCTCGACTCAAAGGTAGAGGCTTACGGAGTACCGAGGACAGTCTCCAGAGTGCGTAGCTTGCCCCGAGTTTACAGGGAATTTCTTTACCACGACTTCAAGGGATGGTGAAGCATCTGTGTATTCGGAGGAAAATTGTGTCAACTTGATGTCAGATTCAGGGGCAGACCCAGGAATAAATTGAGACGACGGGCTGAAAAGTGATCGCAGCCAGACCAGTCCTTCCCTTGCTCGGATGGCAAGGGTGCCTGGGATTGGAAACCAGGGAATAATGAAAAGCGGCGGGTTCTTTCATACCCGAGAGGCATTGCGCTAATAAGGGTGTCTTCCGTACTTCTGTACGGAGAATCCCTGTTCAAACCGTTGGTGATTTCGTTGGTGCAGATGATTCAAAGCTTAAAGTTTCGCCTTCATGCAGATGATGCTAAACAGGGGCGCATCGAACCAGGCTCGCTGTTGTTGCTCCGAGCTCTGCCCCCCAAGAGTGGATGGCCGTAATTTGTGCTGGTCACCAACTCGGTGCCCCTTATCTCTAATTATTTCCACAGTCGGAAACTAGCCATGCAAGACAATAACCTCAAGAAAATTGGTATGTATGCGTTGTTAATAATGTCGTGTTTGAAGATGCATTCGACACAAACCTTGTCGTGTTGACGAAAGGATCGAGGATGCGCCATATCAATCCAACAGAGACTTCGCTGTTATTCGGGCAAGGGGCCGGACAACGGATGACGGAATATCCCAACCCATGATTGTGACACCATTAATTTGGTAGGCTCAATGGCCTTTCATTTTGATAATGTGGAAACTGCTAGATAGGATGCATCTGCTTGACCTGCACATATATGTGCTTTGTCCTATGTCCGCATAATCCCCGCTTCCTTAGGAATAGCCATTTAGGGACTGGTTTGCCCAGAAATGGACGCCAACGTTCCCTTTCTTGAAGCTTTCAAGCTTGTACTTTCCTAGAGAGATCAGCGCCAGCTGGGCTTTCTTTGGAGGCAGCTCACGGGCGCTGCAGACGGATTTGGAATTCCAACCAGCAAGATCGTCATCTCTGAGAAGCTGCGAGCAGTAAAACAAGGTAAAATATCTTCATCGCATCCTCTCGCGCAATGGGGGAAATTTTCAATTGAAGGCCGTAACAAATACTACTTGGCAGAAACCGATTGTCCACCGGCCGAAATGCTCGCGGACGATATGAACCGAGAGCGTGGAACGTTTGTGCTCCGGATCTGACCGGCCACCGCTAATTGAGCACAACCGTTGTCTTTGTGTTGAGTGGATGTTCCTTCAACTAGCTCATGACGTTCAAGTGTGTTGAGGCGATAACATGGCTCAGATCGAGGATCGCCATTGCAAGGAAGTGTCCTTTCTTCCGTCATCCTTGAAGCACCTGGTCAGAATTTAAATATGACCACAAGCCCGGTTAGGAGGCCTGCCGGTTCTTCCTATCTGAATTGCTTGGTTATTAACATTAACTATTTATCAACCCCAGTTGATACCAGAGACGGAAAAAGGTGATGCTGTGACGGGGAACATTTGCGTTGAGAGCTTTATCATTCCACATTTCAATATTTGTATATCGTTATTGTAGGGATGTACTCTGTATAGTACATACGTACATACATGTAATACCGTGGTCCTGCGTACGCTTTCTGCCAAGTAAGACTGGAAATTTGATTTGACGGGTTGAGAATTTCGAACGCAACCGGTCTATGGGATTGGTGTTTCTTTAAGCCACGTAAGGTATTGTACGGGGAAAGAGCAGGGAGATATAACGGCTCCCTTTGTCCCTCCTCGGGATCTCTGAAAAATCGGCGGCCACATGTCGTGAACGAAGAGGTACGAAGCATATGCACTCCGTATGTATGTACGGACATACATTTGTTTGAACGGCTGGAGGCCTGAATAAGACCATGATTGAAGGTATTTATGTATCTGAAGTAACGGGTAAACATATATAAGATTCAACCAATCTCACTTGTCGCCGTCACGCATTGGTTGCAGTTCCGTCATTTTGAAAATACGGTGAGCTGTGGAAAAGCACCGGTACGGGTTCCCAACTCCACATGGACGGAGAATGAGAGCGGCCAACACATTACTTTCCGGGGGCTGACATACCAGATGCATATGCGTATTGTGTGCATACATTAACTGGTTGCTGCAAGTCACCCTGTGGCAAGGCTGGAGAGCCATCACACGGTGCGGCAACCGCATTTTGCGGGGTTCGGTGTCTTCCCTTGCGTAGGACACCAAGCAGTCGCGATGTCCTCGATGTATCCAGCACAGAGTTTATCATTTAAATTCATCTCAGATACGAGGCTCTTTCGTTTCAAGAACAGGATTTTAGTGTGCCGTATGATGAGATGGCTTTTTGGCCCTGAGAAGTCTCGTCGATACTTTCTTTTGAGTTTCCAAAAAAAAAAGTATGCTGCAATGTCGCTTCAATCGCGGAACTATCCGCCGTTGAAACCAGCGACGCGGTGTCCACGAAAACACATGATCAGGGCCTGCGTGGGGCCGGGTTTGTTTGATGGAATCCAATCACGGATCTCTATTCTAAGAAGATCGACATGGAATTTCCTAAACAGGATTGATCTGACAATCTGTACTCAGGGAACGCTGATATCGTATCAGTGAAATGGAGACAGGACCAGCGCCAGACTCAAAGGAACGGAGGATATCTGCTTAAAACAAAGCGATCAGCAGACAGCTGTATCAGTGAGAAGGAATGCAATTTCTTTAGCCCAAACATGTTACTGAGAGTCTGGGCTTTGACTGTGTCTCGGCGAGCCCCAGGGACGAAATGCGTGGCCAGTGACTTAACACGTTAGCTCCTCCGTACCAAGGGGAGCAATTCTCGCCGCGGGGCCCGCGACTCCCTCACAAATTCAATCTATCTCCGAAGCTTGGGCTGAAACAAGCCCATCCGCGTTAGAGATCCGTCTGCCATCCAGAAAGCCAGAAAGCCCTGCCTCGTTGGACTTGGGGCCTGGAATGCTTCGAGAAAGGCTGCGGGGAGCGCTTCGAGAATTGAGACTGGCCGTCCCTTTTGCAAGGCGAGGCGAGCATTCGGCCCCACATCCCTGTTCCGTTCCAGCAGTTTTCTCCATGATAATTCTGTAGTGACGACGAAGCTTATAAAATGGAGAATCAATTTTCCGCTGGCGCCAAAGACGTGTCGAGGTACGGAGTCGACGGAGGATGGAGGACTATCTTTCGAGACCGACGACGGAATGAAAGGGAGTCTCTTGCGCTTTATGCAGTGCGCCATTGGGGAGGTATGGCATGGCTTGATACTAAATCTGGGCAATGGCAGCGGTCAGGATGTCCACCAGTTCCAAACTCTTCTGCATGGCATTGCGTCGAAAAAGCATTGATCTCGAAATTTGGAGCTTTGGTAAAACTTCGAGGTTGATAGCGCATTCAGGCTTGTTTCCCGCCAACCAAGTGCGATGTTCCATTACAGTAATAGTATTACGGAACACCAGTAATCTCATATTACCACCTGGTTACGGAAGCATAGTTTACATACGGTAACTCTGCTTCCGCTATTCCGAACCTGGAAGGGAAGTATCTTGTACGAAGTGCATACTTACTAATGTTGCATCCTGGATACCAAAAGGTGGGCAAGAAATAGGACCGCTGGAGATCTCACTTCGACAATTGGAGTCGAGACCAGTTACGGCAGATTGAACTTGAACTGGGGTTTGCACTCGTACGTCGCTGTATCCATCCTAACTTTCAGAGGCGGCCTAGACAATTTATGTGACTTTTGGCCCTGGAGCCTGGAGAAGTCGACTCTTGAAGGGGAGGATGCTTCGATCGGGGGTGACTGACCATTCCGGCTGCTTACGTGCCTAACTCTTTGAGCATCCCGGGGGCGGTAACAAGGCATTGGTTTGTCCTCTCAGGCAGAATTCACGAGCTTCTTCTGAACGGACTGACGCCCACCAAGAATTATATAAGACGAAATTCTACTCCGTAGTTACGTTCGAAAATAGACGCTCAAAATGGTACAAATTGCTGGACAGATATGCTGACGCCCCGGAACGGAGCGCTTCCCTTTCCCAATCGGGCACTTTGATACGCGTTGCACCATGCCAATGCAAATGGGGCCGTATGACGCCCATTCGCCTTACAATATTCCGAAATGGAAAGTCGAGTTATTCAGCGGCTAGCTCATGTGGTTTGGCAGGAGCCAATTTATGGACAGCGGGGAATATCCAGCGTGCCCAGAGGATGCCTTTTGGTACTGGTGAAATGTGTTTGGTGATGTGTTCGTGACCATGGCATGGGAAACGCAGTGAGACGCTACAACTGGTCAAATTGCGATCGAGGAGTGTTTGTTGGAAGCTGCGCCCGAAACTTGCAAGGCCGCTCTCTGTATCTCCTCGGTAAATCCTTTTGGTGGCTCAAAGGCACGTTGTTTGCCTGGAACTTTGCCAATTTCATTTCTTTGGGAATTACACCTTTATTCTCTTCTCAACCCAAGGAGGCCTGATCGCCTTGTATCTCAAGCATATTATTCTGGCTCAGGAGTACGGAGTATAATGATCGAAATATACACTTCATCGATCCATAGTGTTGTATTTTTTCGTGCAGCAAGTTTGCTTCGTGGGAAAGAATGAATGTACTTCGTGAATGGTTCTGAGTAGACTTTCGGCCCTGGCTTAACGGCGCGCGAAGCGCCTCCCCACGTTTGACAAGGATTGCAGGGTCAGTCGTCAGTGCTTTTATGCGCCATCAGAAATAGGATTGATATTGACAAGGATAAAATTGGAACCAGAGATTTCTCAGAGAACGGCGCCTTTGGAGATTAACCTTGTTGGGCCGCTGTCACAGGTGTGATCTTGCGCCAAGCGGATTTCATTCCTCCATGGGTTCTGTCGCTGTGCATGACGACGTATGTATCATACCGTAATACATGGCGTGTTTGGAGCGGAGCTTTGTACGGTACGTTCAGTATGAACTAGAGTAATCTTACGGCACATGAATACTGATATTCCGGATTAACATTACGCAAATTTGACTGACCTCCTTGCATGGCTTTATTGGGCATCACCACGATGGAGGCGCTTGGGGCCGTCGCAGCCGCCACCACTTCTTCTGATATGGCCTGCTCGAATCTCGTTCTGACGAGAAATATGGCGAGATTTCAAAAGGTCATGCTGGTCATGGCAGTGACTTAGTCCGCTTTCCAGCGTTCCGTCAGCGCCAACATGAGATGTTGCCTTTTAGCGATGGTTAACTAACTCGGAGTCCCTGAGTCGCGATTCGTCCAATTCCCGGCAGTCAAGTTACGAGCCGACGACGATTTCGATGTTCTTCCGTACAGGATCCCATCGCCGTTACGACAGCTTATTAGTATTAACTTTTGAAAGTGGACCATTCAGGAGACTGTGTCGAATCGACTCCGTCAGGATTCTCTGGAGTTGGGACAACTTTGGACTATTATTACTGCAAAACAGCCTGGAACAAGGAAAAAAAAAAGCGGCGGGCTGTGCAACAAATTGATTCGCCCAATTGGGCCTGCGAGTCTAGCACCCTTGATCCCCTCTGTGATCCACTAGCATTTGAATCCGACCATTCTCACGGGTGCTCGACTCTCGCCGGTTAGCGTGTGACCTGAGATGGAGAATCTGATCCAAATCCCACACTAGTTAACTTCTGCCCCCCATCTCTCGTAGTATCCCCATCAACAAGTAATCCGTGGGTCCCCGTTCCATTAACCTGTTTTCACCAACGCTTAACTTGCTGTTGTGGAGCTCGTGGCCTACAGAAGCGTGGAGCATGTTTTGCTCTGTCAGGCCTTTCGGATGACTCCAATGTCAGGGTTCTCCTATATACTTTACGAATCGTCCTTGAGACTGGAAGCTTGACTGTGATCACTCTTATATTTCTTTTCTTCCGGTGAAGCATAGCCTCCATGTTATCCTATTCAATCCCTCCACCTTGAAACACCCTCTGCGGCCATCCCTCACTCAAAGTTGCTTCTCAATCTTATATCCCTTTGGATCACCCAAATTTTCGTCCATTACTTCAACATTCTTTCAATCCGTCAACGTGGCTGCCCTTGGAGTATCTCAGCTGTGTCGTTTGACTGATTGTTCGCGGCAGACGCGCATACCGACTTGTGATCCGAAACCAATTTCATTGGCTGATCTCCTTCCAGGAGGTTCTCCCTCCCTCTCTCAACTTCGACTGCTCGAGGTGCATAGCCTTTCAGAGAGAGGGAAGGACCACCCATGCCCAGAGACGCGGCTCTCCAGAGGAGACCAGGAGCTTATGTCGAAGCGGTCGCATGTGCCAGATATCCCCGATCAGAGTTCGCCAACTGAAGGTTCCAGCCAGCTCCAGCATGAGCCAGAAAGATTCCCTTCCACGGCCGGTGATACTACTCCTGTTCATGCAGCATCTCGCTCAATCGCAGTGGATTCAATTCTGAATCCGCCCGCAAATCCGACTCTCGAATCACCCTCTCACCAAGGCAGCAATGGCCCACTAGAGTCCCCCGTTTCGTCGACATCCCCCTCTCCCTCCCCGTCTCCAGTTGTACCACTTTCCCAAACGGACCCCGCGCGCTTTCGACTCGACAGATCCGTGTCTCCAAGGCTCCATCAACGACGAATATTGACCCCTCGATCCCCCGCTTCTCGTGCTGCGAGCTTGGGAACCAGATTTGCTTCATACCCAGGAACCATGGATGTAGCCCAATTCCCTTTCATCCAATCTCCGCCTCCACAAAGCGGTGCAACTTTACCGGGCAGTTATAGTCACCCTCAACCCTCCTTTCTCCCTGAACAGCGAACAACTCTTCCACCTTCACAAGATACTGCCCCAAGCACTCCACATTCTTCTTACAGCCCCTTCCAGCAGGCGTCGCCAGCGCATATGCTGCAACAGCCTTTACCACTGTCCCAAGTGGGATTGCCTCCATTTATAGCTCATCAGATGGCAATGGAAAGCACTCAGGGGCTGATACCAGTGACCATTGACATGGATTCTGGTTCAAAAAAAGCGTCCGACAAGCGGAAGAAAAACAGCCACGCCTCAAGGAGATTCCGCCAAAGGAAAAAGGCAACTGAAAATGAAAAAGCCCGCATCTTAGAAAAACTGCAGGAGGACATGAAATTTTTAAGGCAAGCGGTCGCATTTTATCGAAGTGAGCGCGATTATTTCCGTGACTACATCAGTAGGATACCGGGTGTGCATATCCCTCCTCGTCCTGCTTCTCCTCAATTTCCGGAGCAGGCCCCGGTAATTCTTACTCAGGCATCTGAATCAGAGTCAGATGGTCGGGTAACGTCTCGTCGCAATGTCCGGTCGCGAACCGGTCCTCCATCTTCGGGAGTGTCATTGCCGACTACTCTTCAACCACTACCATTTAATCTTCCAGGCTATCAATCCGCTCAGCAGTCCCCATGGCCCCCGTCATCCGCAACGACTCCCGAGGCTTCACAGCAATTTCAACCACCTTTCCACGCTCCTTATCGTGCTCACCCTCCCGCATCACCGCAGAGCCATGACGCCATGTTTACCCATCAACAACAACCTCCAAAAGGGTGACTCCATTGATTTGGTTGTATTGACTGCCTTTATTGCATATTTCGGATTGGATTGGCTCATTCGAATACCTGGAAGTATTTAATTTGAGGTCGACTTCGACCCGAGTGTGCAGGCGTTGATTAGGCAATGCTCGTAATCTACGTCTTACTCTCCTATTGTTTTATAATGCGTGATCATGGAAGACCAATTTCATTCTTCAACACACCCTTTGCGTTTCTTTGCATCCGTATTCTATCGTTACTATTTGTTCTGGCTGGGGACCACAAACCCCGTCCAAATGTCTGGTTTGTATTTTTACCTCAAGATACCCTGGGTGGCACGAGTTCTTCGCTATGCTTCCTTGAAAGTTTATTCTTTGCCCCGTAGCATAATCATTTTCCTTATTCCACATTTTGTCATTTATCCTGCCGGTTGCACCATTGCTATTTGTGTTCTATTTCCATTTCCTTGGGCTCTCTAAGTTTTGCTACCCTTTGCTTGTTTTCGTTATATAAGCCTTCGGATTGCTTATGCAAATAAATACGTTTTACTAAGGTTAAGATGTGTCGCGAGTCATAGGGAGATGCCCGGATATTACTATCGGTGCGTTTGGTGCTCTGGAGTTTGTTGACTCCCTCCGATGAGAAGTGTGGGACACCGCTTTTACACTGCCATGCCAAGGTGTGGCATGAAATTTTTCATGCTCCTTTCTTTCCAAGGGTGCCTCTATGCCTTCTATGGTTTGGGGAGTTGGTGGGGGGGTTCTTTTTGGCTGTATAGTTTGACCAGATTGAAAATAATTTCAGTGATTTTGGACATATCTCATGTACCTACTCCGTATAATACATACGGATACTTCGAATCAACAAAGAAATATTCGAAGTGAGAAATTTCCAAGGCAGAGAAGAGCAATGAGGCTGAAGAGATCGCAATCAAAAGAACGTATCACATATTCGAAACGGACACGTCCACATGGTTAGCATGTACGGTGCATCAAGAAAGAATCGGTCCAAAGAGACCCTCCAGGTCTTTATGACATATCAACATAAGTGCGCGGATGTTACTGGAGGAAAGAGAATCCACACCAGTTTTACTGCAGAAATTCAACTGTTTACCAGAGTAGGAAACAATGTGATGCGCAAGTGGGATAGTAGTTTTGTGACCGGTCACATCTCCACTCTGGGCCCCTTTCAAGCATGGCTTGCTTTTGCCCAGGAACCCAATCATCCTTCGGATTAACCACCCGCGATCTGGTTCCATGATCCAGAGATTCGGGCCGCAGATGTCAACGGTCACGTGAGCAACCGGTCTGAAAGTACGGAATGCCAAGCGGCTCACCAGGTTTGGGGCTGTAAATTAGGCTGTTCCCGGTATTTTAAATTACGCAGGTGCTGGTAGCCAATCAAGGGCGCGGAAAAAGAAGCTTAATCCCGGATGACTTTCGAACCTTATTTTCAGCACGCTTCGACGGAGAAATGATATTCCTCAACCCACCCCCTGAGCCCCTGTCTTCGAATGTCATACGCTGCCGCCTTAGGTGGGAACATGGACAACGCCTCTCAGACTCAGAAGCAATGGCGATGTGTGTTGGTTATCATTATCGAGATATCCTTGGACACTTGTGAGTTGAAGATGGGGGATGCAGTACGTCGATTTCATCTGTAATTTGAGCCACATTGTCTTTTGTTACCCGCCTCTTGTTCGGGGGCTGATAGAATTGCTGAGTATCCAGCAATCGCCAAGGTCGGGCTATGTTTTGCAGTTTGACGAGAAGATATCCGGACAGAGAATGGTTCGGATGGGCTTATGACATACATGCGGCCTCTCCGAACTCCTATTCGATCGAAAGCACAGACCAGACGGGAAATATGCAAGTCTGAAACCATGCATGGGTCGACGAACGCAATGTAAACTGATTGCGCTACGGAGTGCTGCGTACAGAGCTTGCTGTCTAGTGGGACAGTCGAATTCCAGATTACTCTTTGAAGCGGTTCGGCTGTGGAGTTTGTGGAAATGGGCCTGGACCTTCCAGAAGCTTCCTAGTCCTTTTTTTGGCCGACGTGCTCCGTACTCCGTACATATTTACGACGCTTTGGAATGCCACGCGCCGTGATTATGTCGGGAACTTTGATCACTCTTTAGAAAGTTCCCGCATGGGGGCGGACGACACGGTATTCGCGGAACTAATGGAGGCACTCGACTTCCAGCCCGTGCGACTCGAAGCCGTTGAAAGTGTGTCATAGACATTGGTACTGGTCTCGCATTTTCCAAGCTACACGTGGAATTTGCAAGGAACGATGAGTCGCATGGCCCTGCAAATCTTTACCCCTCTTTATAGGCTTTCATGGAGTATATACGCCGTATGGTCTATTCAATGGTTTAACTGTTCATTTTGCCCCCATACATACCAAGATCATTGACCCTATGTGAAGTGTCCTGTGGTGAAACGAGTTTGATAAATAGATTGTCCTTATGTCAGGTCCACAACGACGCCCATTTCTCTTTGACATGAGTGATGTACTCCCAAACCACGTTGCCTCTGTGCATCGGACATAGTTACACTGCGCTCCAGATACCTTGGGCAACGCTAACGCTGCAGAAGGAGATCTGGCTCTGCGAATGTATTCGGTGTCCTCCGCTCTCATGCATATAGACCATGCGATGCAAATCATAGTTCTTTACACCTGCCACAAGTTCACAGCGATCCTATTTGGAACGAGATATCTCATTTCCGGGCTGCTACGATGCAACAAAACAAAAACTGGGAGGAAAGTTACTATTTATCTTTCCCATCTGCCTCTTTAGTCCAGTTCAATCCCTGTTTCATTCTGCAACCTGTCCAGCACTCGTTTGGGTTAGCTTGGCCGTGCATTCAATTCATGTCCAATATGGAGATAATGACTTGATTGCATTGCATTTAGATCACATCCATAACTAGTATCACTTTCTGTGGTCACTACTGTTGGAGCCGAGCCATTCCCCGCGAAATTGCACGAGAATTGCGGGTGTTGGCTGCCACGGGCGGATCACAAAATGTGACTCTCAAGTGACAGAGCAGGCTTTCTGCATTGTGAAGCTTGAATAATCTTTCACATTGAGAGAGATATACTACAACTGTTATCAGAAGCTCACTGTCCAGTGTAACGGGACCACATTTAGACGCTACTTTCCCGAATACAACTATAGCAGCTAGGTTTTAACTGATGGACAATAGGTCTTTGAGGATATCCATGGACTTTTCTTTCATATTTTATTAGGAATGTTCCATGTTTAATAATACAATCTGCTAGAGCTAACCGTAATGAAGCTGTGTTGTTCCTATTGCTGTTCTTCATTGCTAGTGATAGGCTTTGCTTGCTTGAGGCAATGTTACATGACACTGAACCACATATCTACAGGGATACTTGGACTTTTGCGTTGTAAGTATCTTGAAAATGCTTTGTGCTATTGATCTGTCCGTCAAATGTCTGACATCTCCTGGGAATTCAGGCACAACTTTGCTCTTGTTCTGGAAACATGTTTCTAGGACCCGAGTATTTGAAGACAGGTGTTCAGCATGCCATATTGTGTCTACACCGCAAATATTAGCCTGGTCTAGTGCGAAGGATTTTCTAGTCCTTTGAATTGAAATTATTTTTTTTAGATGTTGAATTTGGGCTCCTAGGGCCCGAGATCACACAATTCCCGGTCTCATATATCCAATATTGTTGCTTGCATTATTTTGTATGCCGTGTCGTACATATCTGGCTACATTGACATGCATGCCATGTTTGTTATCCTGAATTCGACTGCCACCTGTCATCTAGGGCCAGCGAGTATGACCCATAGCCTGATGGGAACCCGAAATTTTGCCGGTTCTCGATACCTTTGTTTAACTATCTTTTGTGGCATCCCGTGAAACAGCTCATCCGAACTTGAGAACAACCTGCAAGGGAGGGGAAGATCAGAGAGAACCCTCCAGTTTATCTATCGCAATATAAAAAAGGTCTAATCTCCCGAATCCTATGCCGGCGTTGAGAGGCACTCCAGTGCAGCATCCCGAGATCTCGCATAGTCAGCTCTCTTTATTAAGCTATCATAACATTCCGTTTGATCTTCTCAAAATGAAGTTCTTCGCTATTGGTTGTCTTCTCGCAATCGGTGCGAATGCCTTGTACATCAAATCCGAGGCGATCGGGGCCCCGGATCATCTGAGATTGAGATCAGCAAACAGCTCCATCTGCGGCACCCAACTCACCGACAATTTCGAGTTCCCGCATTTGATTGTCCCCGTGAACTCGTCTGCACCCGACACTGCGCTGGGCACCTCATTCAATGGCCAAGTGTCATCGACTATCTCGTCGTTATTCAACTTTGACATCCCCGCGGGCGGCGAGCTCAAGACCTGCTCGCTCGTTTTCCACTTCCCAAGCACGATGCAGCACCCATCCAACTACTACACTTTCGAAGGGGATGGGAATATTCGCTTCGGTAAGCTCGAGACTCCAGCTCAGGTCACGTCCACGTTCAACAATGCACCGCCGGTGCGTGAGGATTATGGAAGCTTTGCCATGCAGCCTGGAAATGCGTATAGTATTGCGAATTTCCAGTGTCCGATGGGAGAGAAAATTGCGTTTCAAATGTCAAATGCTGGGTCGACGGTTCTGAGCTACTTCCAAAATTATGGAGACCCTCCGTAAGTTTGCATGGATGGATCAAGGCGAAATTTTTGTATAGCTAACGAAAAGCGAATAGATTCGGCCTCTTCATCACCCGCTGCACCGGCCAGTAGAGTTGGGCGCTTAGGTAGGTGCGCTCTTGCAAAGAACTGGGGAATATACAATGGTAATCCGGCTGATTTGTTGCTGGGGTTCCGAGATGGCGAGAAGGGCTGTTTGGAAATCTGAATCAGGGAGAATGCTAGAATTTCGGATCTCTGGAAAGTCGAGCTTGTGCAGTCTCTCTTTTTCCTAAAAAAATTCTTTTCTTTAAAAATTAAAAAAAAAAAAAAAAAAAAAAAAAAAAAAAAGGAAAAGAAAGAAAAGGGCAGCACCTGTTTATGGCCATGTTTTGGCTATTATTTGCAGAGGAATTTTTTTTCTTCAAAAATTTATTTGTTTTATTGATACCGCCTGGTGTTGAGCTCAACAGTCTTCCCTGCATAGCCCGGAAGAACACTGGATGTCAGGGACTGCAAACTTCAAAGTCAAGATGTAGGGAGACTAGAAAGCACCCTTGCTGGCTAATAACTATTGCGAATTCTACGTGAATGCTGGGGCGTGGATACTTCTGCATACTTGATAGCGTAACGGAAGCGGAGCGGTGTGCTTCTCCGGCTGCCACTTGGTCGAGAGCAAGGTCATTATTGAGACACCCATTCTGCCGTGAACCATCAATCTTCGAGGAAATTACCCCGAGGTAACTGAATGGTGTCAGAATGTGCGCGGCCTGCAGCTCCTGTTGGTAGGGCTGGCGTGCAGGGTTCACGGCCGGCCCAGGGTGCTGCCTCGTCGTGTCCTTCGAGGTCGGTATGAGTTCTCCCCAGAAGATGACGAGCTCAAGGCTCAAGGATCTCCCTCCGTAGCGGCGATGTTTCGGAGCCGTTGAACCTCCTGACCGTTTCTATATTTGTGACGGCGTCGTCAGTCCATCATCCCGTCAGCGCCAATAAGTTCGGAGTGAGTTTGGGAGCAACCCCAGATGGGAAAACCAGCCACAATTACATAAGGGATCGTCGATGGCTGAATGCTTGGCGGTTACGTGGACTGTGCTGGGCGCCAAACTCTGAGCGAGGAGAGAAGCGCATGAAAGGGGAGTCTGGTCGCGAGGTCAAGCAGACTGACGAAAAGACACCGGCCGACGGAGCATGGAGGAGTCGTAAGTAGACAGAGAGACAGTTCCTCAGCCAGTACGGAGGCCAACGGGTTCGAGGTCTCTCGGTGTGTGGGAGACGCAGCGGCGCTGTCAAGCAGAGTACAGTATCAGCAAATCCAGGGCGCCTCTGACAACGGTTCTGGTCCGTTCTTGGGGTTGATGGGGCGGGCGAGTCCCCGAACCCAGTTAAGGCACAGCCAACCAAGAAGCTAATTTTACCCTCTTGAAATGCTGCAGCACAGGACTCAACTCTCTTCATCCTGCTCTGTGATACTTATTTTTTCTTTTTCTCTTTTTTTTTCCCTTTCTTTTGCATTTTAGCTGTAATATTTTGCTTGACTTTTGATAGCGAGAATCTTCATTCTTTGAATGCTTGATACTTGACCTGTCTTTCTTTCACATCTCCTTGTCTTTCCCCTTCTTTTCATGAGCTGGACTTTGGTGTTTCGCCGTGCGAAAGGATCGAAGTGATGGAGTCCCAGCTCCCAAACAAACTCCCTTTCTCCAAAAAGCCACTTCGCGCCAGGGTGATTATATCGTGAGTGATTCGGCTGGCCTGCTAGGAGGATGGGACCTTACTGACAGCGTGCCCAGGTACATCCTAGACTATGTTATCCTAGTGTGCGTCCCTCTGCTCCTCCGCGAATACACATGTGACCAAATTCCCCATTCGGCGTCGAGGACTAACACCAACAAATCTGTAGTGCCCTTGTCATCGGCTTCTTCATACTCGATAAAGTCGAGCCCCACCATCAGCACTTCTCCCTCCGAAACTACACCCTTCAATATCCCTTCGCCGAACATGAGAGCATCCCGATGTATCTAGCCCTCGCCATCACCGGCGGTGTCCCCATCGTCGTGATAGCAGTATATACGATTGTCATAGATGGGCTGTTTTCGCACCACAAGCCCACCAATCCTGCCACTGGACGAAGGAAGGTGATGGGGAAGTATCGGCTGAAGGATCGCCTTTGGGAATTGAACTGCGGGATTCTTGGCCTGTTTCTGTCCCAGGCCGCCGCTTTCGTTATCACTAGCGCCCTGAAGAATGCCGCGGGGAAGCCTCGACCGGACTTCATCGATCGTTGTCGCCCACGGCCCGGGAGCGAGGACGCACCAGTTTTTGGGCTGTCGAATTCAACTATCTGCACCCAAACTGACAACGCTATCATGAAAGATGGATTTAGATCCTTCCCTTCTGGTAAGTCAGACAGGACGTTACTCGCGTTAATATACCAGGCTAATCGGGGTTTATTCCATTATAGGACACAGTAGCTGTACGATAATCCTCCCCTAGTTGCTCAGTGACCTTACATTGTTGATTTTTCTAACATTTTCCCTTCATTTAGCCGCATTTGCCGGACTCTTTTACCTTTCGCTCTACCTTGCGGGCAAGCTTCATGTTTTGGATAGTCGAGGAGAAGTTTGGAAGACCTTCGTGGTCCTAATGCCCACACTTGGCGCGGGGCTGGTTTCCGTGTCGCGAATCATGGACGCCCGCCACCACCCATTTGACGTGATATCAGGATCGTTGCTGGGCATTTTATGCGCATGGATGTCTTACCGACAGTATTTCCCGTCTATTACGGAAGCATGGAAGAAGGGAAGAGCACATCCCATTCGGACCTGGGGAACTATCCCTCAGCCTCCAGAATTAGTCGAACGACGTCGTTTCGAACTTGACGACGATGATGATGACGAAGCTAAACCCATGGCTCCACGAGACGAGGAGTATCAGGGGGTAACGTCCGCTAGGCCGCCAATGTCTCCTTCACAGCGACGAGAGACTGAGTTTTCAGCCGTCGGCGACAATCCATTCCAACCTCCACGGGCGTACTCAAGACGAAGACATGATGACGTAGATCCTAACTACTCGTCATCTAGTGGTGATTCACATGGCGGCTACGAGATGCAATCAGCTTACAAGGGAGGAACCCAAGCAAGCGAATCCCAAGAGCGTTTGGATTCGGGCCGTCCCACAGATATCGCCTTTCATTCATCGTCCCAACGAAGGCCGTCGTCGCCCAGCCCACTCCGTCGATGATGGCATATTATATTTGCTTATATTTCGTTCCGTCTTTGGGAAATGAGTTCAGACATAATTCGGCAGCTGGAGTTTTTACTGTCAGGCGCTTCTTCTTGCTTATTTTCACACTGCAATTTTCGGCTTAAGGTTTCGTGGGCTGCGAAATTGGGAATTTTGTGTCTCTCTTTTTTGAGCATTATGATGCACGAAGCCTTGATCTTGCAAAGTCTAACCCTATTACTGTATGTACGCCAAAGCATAGGTTGAATTTTCTTTTTTTGAATCACAAGCATCAGGTATTGGGTGAACGCTCTTTGTTGTATGACTTTTGGAATATTAAGCTGAGGATAACTCTGTCGATGTTTCTATGGGCACTATGTTCACCTCTCAAGACCTTGTTGACTGGTTGATGAGCAGCACATTGCTATGGGTGTGTTGTAAACTTTTTCCTTTATGACCAGTGTTGAAGCGCCTTTGAATCAAGCCCTAGACTTAAATTTCTATCTATGAAGCATGACGCATATACCCAGAAGATTGAAATTGGACGGCTGCATCACTGTCTGGACGCCGTACTCTGTATTCTGTACTCTGTACGGAGTACGCGTGTAGCTTAACGCTTGACATGCTGGGGGATCAGCATACTATTTCGCGTGGGGAGGGGGCCTCGATTGGTTTCAGTTGGATTAACGCCCGAGCCCTACGGAGTAACGACGCTGGTTCCTGCAAGCAATGACGCCGATGGGCATCCACACCTTTGCCGACAGCGAAGCTGGCGGCCCTCTTTGGCCTCATGATTGGGTGTTTTGCCAAAGGGCCAAGCCGTACTAGTGGCATCTTGTCCATCCATCCCCGCCATCGTATTTTCTTTTTTGTTCTCCCAGCCTCCCACACAATGTCTTTTCCCCCCGGCCTTATGAAGGCACGGCTGGACAGATATGAACTGCTGTCAAAATTATATTTGTCTTGCTGCAAGTCATATTCCTTTATCACCGTTTAACTGGGTGTTTGGGGTTTGTTGACAGCAGAAGTGAGCTGTTGCTAGGACAGTTTTTGTTCACTGATTGTTCCCTACTGTGACGTTGCACACAGAAGACAGAGGTCTTGTTGCCGTTCTTCCTTCGCCTAGGAGCTGAAAGAATTTATTCTGCGAAAACAACATCCAGCCATTGCTATGAAGTACTCTGTTCTTTGAATATTAATTACAAGGATCAAGTGCTTTGCATTGCTTCTGCTGCAGTCAGTGAGTGGCTTTGAGCCACTGTCCAACATCCTCTTCACTCGAGATAACCATTTGCGCCTGAACCTCGAGAAGTGATATCAATTCTGTCACATTGCACGCTCCTACTATAGCCATGTTTTCCGGACTCTTTTTCATCTGTTGGAGGGCAGGGCAGCTGGTCACTCTCATCCCACCCTTGGGCATGCTGGTATGTCCAAGAAGATGTGTCGTTACTTGACTTTTCCCATTCTTGCTGACATGATTTTATCACCAAAGTCCTGGTTCATCGATGGCTTCGTAAAGGCCAACATGCTCACCCCAACCTACATCCTCGTGCTATTCATCGTCACCGTGCTTGCTTCCGTATGGGCAGTCGAAACGCTCGTCCGCTACAATAGCACCAAACGATCCGCGATATTCGTCTCCTTCGTCGACATCTGCTTCTTCGGCTCCTTCGTCGCAAGTGTTTATCTTCTCCGGGGCATTGCTGTCGAAAACTGTAACAGCTTTACCCGCAGCCAATTCCTTCAGTCCCTAGGACCATTTGGGTTCTGGGGCCAGCGGACAAATAACCCCCTTAGCCAAGACCCAACGAAAGTCTGTTCGATGCTGAAGGCTTCCTTTGCGTTTGCTATTCTGAACACGATGTCGTTCTTTTTCACGGCCATTTTCGCGTATTTCTTGTGGCAGCATGAGACTAAGCATCAGGGAGAGAAGAGATCGCGCCGGCATAGCCATTCCAGCAGACGGAGCCAGCATCGCCATCGAAGCAGCTCTGGTCGACGGGGTGATTATCATGTTTGATTTCGGTGTCTTCTTTTTCTTTTCTAATATGGTAATGGCTCTTCCGGCCCCGAAGATAATATTGGGAAGATCTTATCTCACGACGGTGCAGAGTAATCTCTTTTTGAAGGCCTTGCCGAGATGATTCCATGCTAATTCTCCGGAAGGCTAGGACTCGGGATATCCGTGACATGATTTGATGACTTATGCGTTTCCTTTTTGCAATAGCCCTTCAGCTATGTTTACGACTTTAATGATCTCTTTTTATGTATAGATGCCCTGTATGTATGATCACATGGATGGATTGCACTGTTATCTCTTTTTCCCTGCTCTGATAATTGCTCTAAAACTGGGTGTGAATCCCCTGATCAATGAAGGCTGCATGTCCGTAAATGGTGGCTTGCATACCCGGGTTCGGATGATCAGTGCTGGGCATTAGCTTTCTCGTAACGCCTTTCAAGCCATTTCTGTGCTTCACTATCAATCCTTGCCTGTGTCAAAGATAACCAGGCTCTGGATTGTGCCAGCCTTCAAAGAATTGAGGCTGGACCTCCTAAGTGTTGCGCTGTTCTTATGTTTGTTAGCATGTTCATTCCACTTTTCTTCAACCCAACATATGCGGTTGCAAGGGGTAGGAGTGCACTTGCCAATGATTGCTTGTGACTATCAATGCGACAGTGATATTTAGGTGTATCATCCTGGGTGTGCTTGCGGACTAATAAAGCTGATTGAAAATATTTGCTGTGTTTGGGGGGAGGGTGCTGTTCTTTGTGCAAGCAAACCACCCAAGGGCAACAAGTTTGTCTGAGACAATCCATTTTGTTCTGCATGGTTAACATAGCTATCAAGGAAATATCTACAGATCAGAAATAAGAATTAACCCATAGATATTCTATATTAGCGTATTCACTGCAATATAATGTTTTGATAGATCAGAATAAGTAGATATAAGCTGGTGCATCACAGTAAGAGCTTATGAAGACCTAAGAGAGTTGCTTCATAAGACTTGTTATGGTAGAATATATCGATAGCCGCCTGAGCGAGGCCGCACGCACGCTACACTGGCAGGGCCAGCGAGTACATCACCTTGGCCGAGAGGCTTGGGTTCATCTTGTTAAACCCTCCCACACTTTATCCAGATATGCAAGCTAAACCAAAATAGGAAATTACGTGTACCGCGCCAAGCATACCCTGAACTCCGTGCAAGTTAAATTGATAGGCTTGATTCGAATCGATATCGTACCGAGTTCTGTGTTCCAAGAGAGTAAATATTCCACTACATGGGAATCATCCCCAGCACAACTCTTTAATACCCTACATTTTAACTGCAAGCTGGCCTCGGGTTGCTCTGACGGCGGCGACCTGAATAATGCCCCACTTTCCAGGTTGCCGGGAGTTGAGCTAGTGTAATATAAGTTTCGCCATCTTGTACTCTGTACTAACCAAAGCACCTTGGTTCACTTTTCAGTATACCTCAGAAGAAAACATATCTCTGATGACCTCACTTTTTGAATGGCCACCTGCCCTCTTGCAAAGAATCCAAGTTGGTGGATGACTTGCGATACTACGCCCCCGCTGCCTGGTGAGCTAGGATGCAGATTCAACCTGGAGGACGCGGGCACTGCGCTGCTTCCCTCGGGGGCTTTTCGCGTCTAATCAGCTCCGGGATACCTTTATAATGGAGGGCTTCGTGGTGCTTTGGGGGATATTCTTGTATGTTCACCTTCTTTGGACCCACCGGCAGTGTCTTTTTCTTTTTCTTTTTTTTTTTTTTATATATGACTGGCTAGGATTTACAATTTAACCTTGTTGCCTTTATAGATTGTGGCTGGGGAAGATGTCGTTGTCGACACTCTTGAGGATTTCTGGACTTAGGAAAGAAAGACATGATGCGTCATTTTTGAAGACAAGTGAGAAATCGTCTAGCAAGCAGAAGACGGTAGACGCCGGTGCCGTGGATGGCGAGAGTGCGGAAAACCTCTACCCGGAGAACGTGGAGACGATACGGAGTCGTGAGTTTCCTCTGCTAAAAAGTGAGCATCTCCATAATCCATCAGGGCTGGTAGAATGGCGATGATTGCTAATTGTACCGGTGCCTTTATAGGCACGACTTATCTCGACCATGGAGGTGCAACGCTATATGCAAAAAGCCTCATCGATGACTTTTCACGGGAGATGACCTCCCACATTTTCGGGAACCCGCACTCTGCGTCTTCTTCTTCTCAGCTGTCTACTCAGCGGGTAGACGATGCACGGCTAAGGTTGTTACAGTTCTTTAACGCAAGCCCGGACGATTTTGATATTGTCTTTGTCGCCAATGCTACTGCAGGCATCAAACTCGTTACAGAGGCTTTGCGGGACTATGACCAAAGGGGTTTTTGGTATGGGTATCATCTGGATTCGCATACCAGTCTGGTTGGACCGCGAAATGTTGCGACTCGAGGAAGCAGGTGCTTCCTTGACTCCAATGGCGTACAAGAGTGGATTGATGGTCTGGGTGCTTCGCCGAGCGGACAGGAGGAGAAACCATACCCCAAGCTGTTCGCATATCCCGCCCAGTCAAACATGACTGGATCGCGTTTGGGTCTTGAATGGTGCAAATCCATTCGAGCGAAGACAGGAGGAAAGCAGAATGTCTTTACTTTATATGATGCGGCAGCCCATGTTTCCAGTTCGCCATTGGATCTGAGTGACTCGGACTCCGCTCCCGATTTCACCGTGTTGAGCCTCTACAAGATATTTGGGTTTCCGGACATCGGCGTTCTTATCGTTCGCAAGGAGGCAAGACATACCTTTGAAAAGAGAACCTATTTTGGTGGAGGTACGGTCGGAATGGTCATCAGTCTCGGAGAGGAATGGCATGCCAAACGAAACGATGCCGTCCATGACGGACTTGAGGATGGAACGCTACCTTTCCACAGTATCGTGGCGGTACATTCTGCGCTTGATGTACATAAGCGACTATATGGTTCAATGCGAAATGTGTCTTGGCACACTGCCGCACTAGCGAAGAATTTATACTGTCGCCTCGAAGGTTTGAGACATTCCAACGGAGAAAAGGTCTGTGAAATATATAAATCGTCGTATTCTACATATGGCGATCCAGCTACACAGGGACCGGTGGTCGCATTCAACTTGAAGGATAGTCGTGGGTCGTGGGTAGGGAGTTCGGACGTTGAGAAACTCGCCGCCGTCAAAGACATTCATATTCGCTCCGGAGGTCTTTGCAACCCTGGCGGAATAGCATCATATCTTCATTTTAACCCCGAAGAGATGAAGAGAAACTATACCTCTGGCTTGCGCTGTGGCGATGAAACTGATTTGATGGGCGAAAAGCCGTCTGGAGCAATACGAGTTAGTCTCGGTGCGATGAGCAGTATGCGAGATATCGATACCTTTGTTAATTTTATTTCCGACTTCTATGTCGAAAAAGAAAAGCGTACGTCTCTGCCCGAAGCCCCGGTCCCATCGACCCCCCTGAATCCAGAGTTTTATATTGAACAAATTTACGTTTATCCGATTAAGAGCTGCGGAGCACTTGTCATTCCTGAGGGTGAACAATGGGAGGTCAAGCCAGAGGGCCTCGCATGGGATAGGGAGTGGTGCCTTATACATTTGGGGACAAACACTGCGCTTAATCAAAAGAAGTATCCCAGGATGGCTCTCATCCGCCCCATTATTGATTTCAAGAAAGGCTTCTTGCGAATTACTTGTGGGACCACTGGATCCGAGGACTGGAACTCAATCGAAATACCCCTATTCCCTGACGATACGAAGGGGCAAACAGCTGTTCAGATGCAGCAGAATGCGAAGGCAGCGACGGTTTGTGGAGATACCGTCACCGTACGGGTATACTCGACTCCAACTGTAACAGCTTTCTTTTCGGATTTCCTCTCCACCCCTTGCACTCTCGCTAGACTACCTCCTCAGTCTACAATGCGATATTATAAGCCTCGCCTGCCTGCAACCGAGACGAATAAGCGATCAAGCATTCTGTCGACCACATTTTCCAAGCCCAGACCTTCACTTCACCGAAACCCTATTCTTCTATCAAACGAAAGCCCCATGCTTCTTGTCTCCCGGTCAAGTGTCAATAGACTTAATGAGGAGATAAAGACACGCCAAAACAACGCCAAAACAGTACCCTGTAATGTCTTTCGTGCCAATATTATCGTTTCTGAGGACCTGTCCCCTTCGAGAATGGACAGGCGGACCGGCGATAATGAATCCTTGACAGAACATCCTTACATCGAAGACCATTGGTCCGGCTTCCGGATAGGAAATTGGAGGTTCGATGTCCTTTCATCCTGTCAGCGGTGTCAGATGGTGTGTATCGACCAGGATACGGGTGTTCGAAGCGAAGAGCCGTATTCAACGCTCGCGAAGACAAGGAAGATCAATGGAAAGGTGTATTTTGGGCGTCATATCTGTTTGGCTAATGCTTCGTCGGGACGCCAGGGGCTTTGTCCAACCGTGAAGGTTGGGGATAGAGTTGAACCATTTTATGGGAGTTCGTAAGGTCGCATTTCTCTTGAACTTTGTTAATGATATTTATTTTCCTAAAATCTTGCTGCATATATCTGCTTAGGATTCGGGTAGAGTATTAATTTGCACAGGCCTCATTATTTTCGAGACGCCATGTGGGAGGCTGTGAGGCCTGACTAAAGCTGTTTAGTGGATTTTCAGTTGTTCTTTGATATTGTACACATTTGTAGTAGGAATGAGGATAGTAAAGGAGACAGAACGATGTAAGTATATTCAAAAGCTGGCGCCCGTATTCGTACAACCGCCCGATGTGTCGCCCAAAAATGAAACCGTAACGCAGGTTGAAAGGGAAAAATCTTTAACAAAACATAGCATCCGAATTGCTTTGCGTATGCGCCTATTATCGGGGATATTTCTTCCATCCTCTTCCGTGTCCACGCTGTTAAACGAAGGGTTACTGTTAGCCTGCTCATATCCTCGCATACACAACCAGGGAACCGAAGCATCAAACATACCTGTTTCCATAATCTTATCATCTCCGGCATCTCCAACATTGCCTTCCTTCTCTCCTCCAACCTGGTCTTCAACGTCCTCTCCCATTTATGACCCTTCACCTTCTGTCCAATACCTGTGCCCTTGATTCGCAAGCCTTTCTCAATCACTCTCGCTTCACGGTATTCTGATGACTTCTTTCCCGGCGGTAATAACTCTTCTACCCCATGCTCTCGCGCTAATTTGACCAATTCATTCTGTCTGCGGAGAGATATCACGGCACCTCTCCAGCGGTTGGTCTCTGGGTTCTTATATGGGAGAAAAGGATTTGGATAGTCTGGGATCGATCGGAGAAGGGAGTCGGTTAGGGAGAATGAGTTTTTGGACAATTCAGCTATCTTGGAGGGCTTGGAGTCCCGAGACGGAGTGTAAGGGCTTGGAGCGGCACCGGGAATAGTTGCATCAGCGGGCGGCGTGGGTTTTGGGATCGCAGCAGCTGAGTAGAATTGGGGAGGATAGCGGGCAAAAAAATTGCGTAGTCTGACAGGTAGTGTCTCCGTGAGACTCGTTACAGCTTGTTTAGTGGCCATTGTGCCTGATCTGCTTTGTCCGTTTCTTCTTTTGTCAAACTTGATTTCAGCGTTTAAGATTTCGGCGGAAATTCTAGATCATGTGACCACGAATGTTTTGACGTATTTGCGCTTGATGGGAGCATCCATTACAACGGGTACCGTAACTTACGAGTTCTGTGTGAGGGCTGGAAATAAAATACGTATTGCCGCGTTTTGTGCACTGAACTTGAGGCGCTTGTCCAGCCGCAACCGCTTCCTTTCTTTCAATCTTCCCCTCCTCTTCTCCATCCCCAACCACGCCTTATTCGCTTCTCACAGCCTGATAGGCACTGAAGCTTGATTTCTTTCCCTTATATCACACCTAACGTACCTGCCGCCATGGCAGACTTGCACTTTGCTGGTACTGATGAAGAGAACGCGGAGCTGAAGAAGCTGAATGCGGAGGTGGTAAGTGAACCTGAGAAGCCGACTCGGGATTCCCATATATTCTCGGGCCATTTGCTTATTGCAACAGCTTGAGGATACCGATAATTTCGAGAACTGGGAGAAACTAGTTCGGGCTGCCGAAAGCCAAGAAGGCGGCATCAACCGGAACTCCAGTCCCCAGGCGATCACCACCACGAGAGCAATATACGACAAGTTCTTGGCCAAATTTCCCTTATTATTCGGATACTGGAAAAAATATGCCGACTTGGAGTTTTCTATCGCTGGTACGGAGTCCGCTGAAATGGTTAGTGTCTCTTCTGGTCAACAGTCTGCCTGATGGATGGGGAACTGATGCTGTGGCTTAGGTTTATGAGAGAGGTGTCGCAAGCATCACGAATTCAGTAGACCTTTGGACAAACTACTGTACCTTTAAGGTTGATACCACTCATGATCCAGATGTCATTCGAGAGTAAGTATACACAATGCGTTGGTTTCCCTGCCCCTATAACTATACCAACCATAGTTAGAGAGTCATGATGTGATTGCGAGGACATGTGGTGCAGATTAATATTCATCAAAGGTTCCTCCGTGGGTGAGATAGTCGTCTGCTACCCAGGTTCCTTGGAAACTACTTCTCACCCTTTAATTTCAGGCTGTTATCTCTTTTTCTCATCGTGCCACCCACTAGGCCAGTTCGGAGATAGCTCCTTACTTTTGCGCACGATGATATGAAAGCACCATGATACGTTGCAACAATTCGGCACTTTGATACCTACAGATCCATTCATATGCCATGTTTGCCATCCTTTATCCCCTTTCCACCCCAATTCCCCTCCCTCTCTCTCCCTCCCTCCTTTTTGTGTGATCATTGTTCGCTGACAGTTTAATGAACAGGCTCTTTGAGCGTGGTGCCAATTGTGTAGGCCTTGATTTTCTGTCGCACCCTTTCTGGGATAAGTATCTCCAGTTTGAAGAGAACTTAGAGGCTGGCGACAATAGGATATTTGCGATCTTGGGCCGAATCATCCAAATCCCTATGCACCAGTATGCGCGATACTTCGAGACGTATCGTCACTTAGCACAAGCTAGACCCTTGACGGAGCTTGCGCCTCCTGAGACTATCGCTCAATTTAGAGCAGAGGTTGAAGGCGCTGCAGCCGGCATCCCGCCGGGATCTAGAAGTGAAGCAGAGATTGAAAGGGATGTCCGATTGCGCGTGGATGGCTATCATTTGGAAACCTTCACTCGGACACAAACGGAGACTACCAAGCGATGGACTTACGAGTCTGAGATTAAACGTCCTTACTTCCATGTAACGGAACTTGACGATGGACAGTTGGCTAACTGGAGGAAGTACCTTGACTTCGAAGAATCGGAGGGATCGTATGCAAGAACGCAATTTCTCTATGAGAGATGTCTCGTCACTTGTGCCCACTATGATGAATTTTGGATGCGTTATGCCCGATGGATGTCCGCCCAGGACGGAAAAGAAGAAGAGGTGCGAAATATATACCAACGCGCTAGCACACTTTATGTCCCAATTTCGAGGCCCACTATTCGGTTGCACTACGCCTACTTCGAAGAGATGTGTGGCAGAACCGATATTGCCAAGGATGTCCATAGTGCGATCCTTGTTTCGCTGCCTGGCCATGTGGAAACAATAATATCGTTCGCAAACATGTCACGACGTCACGGAGGATTGGATGCTGCGATTGACGTTTATAAGTCACAGATTGATTCCACCCAGTGCGATATTCAGGCGAAATCTGCATTGGTCGCCGAATGGGCTAATCTTCTCTGGAAGATTAAGGGAGTACCAGAGGAGGCTCGACAAGTCTTTCAAAACAACCAACATTGGTATCCTGATAGCCGTCCGTTCTGGATGAGTTATTTGACCTTTGAGCTCGAGCAACCAACAAGCGCTGATGTGGAAGGTACTCAATACGAAAGAATCAAGCAGGTCATCGAGGATGTCCGCACAAAGAGTAGCCTATCCACACAAGTGGCCAAGGAACTACTTCAGATTTACATGGTCTACCTGTTGGAGCGAGGTTCAAAGGATGCCGCGAAAGAATACATGGCTCTCGATCGTGAAGTGAACGGACCCCAGTCTGTACAAACGATCATGAAGAATGCAGAAGCTCAGAAAGATAATACTGCTAAACCCACAGCTGTTGAAAACGGTAACCAAACGTCTGCTGAGGTTCCTGTCCAGTCCCCTCTTCAACCTCCCACCCAAGTGCCTGATAATCCTTATAACAAGTACTACCAGCCACCAGTTTCATCTAATGGGGCCGTAAGTTTTTATCTTTGGCTCTACTTTAGGTGACCACCTTGCTGACATTTATATAGGCCATGCCTGTCAAGTATCCGTAGTTATACTGTTAGGTATATTCCACAGTTTCCAAAATTGCTTAGGGGAAGTTAGGTTATTTGGTGTATAGACGAAGCCTACGCGACAGGCATATCATGGAACAATAATGACGGCCTCTGTATATTGGGGATTAGCAGCACGGCTTTCAGTGGGGATGAGTGTACGATGCTCTGCGATCAGGGTGGACAGCGTCTGGCCCTCCTTGTCTGAATTCTCGGCATGTACTCTACTAATTTGTTTGCTTTTATTCATAGCTGTTTTTTGATTGCAATACATAAGATTTATAAAGGTGAAACAATGCTTAGAATAACTTTCGAAATTCAATGGCCTGGAGGTCTATTCATTTGCAGCCTTGCCCATAAGTGGCCTCGCTTTGGTGTTTGCACCGTTTGCATCTATTAGTCATCACAGTGGCGATAACTAACAAGGTCATGTGATAGCAATCTTTAGGTAAGTTGCCCGAATCCTTGGCTTATCTCAAGCGCGTTGGCTTCGAACGAGACAGCAGTAGGATGTACTTAAGCAATAGCATCATGGATGGCATGTTAACTGAGGGCACCTCTGCGATTCCTCCTCCACAGCCCCCTCTGGAGCCTATTGAACGTCCGCCAACCCCTCCTCCATTGCCTCCTGACGAATCCGCCCTTCCTCCGCCACCAACGGACCCGGCTCCTCCTCCACCTCCGCCAGATTCCCTTGCACCGCCCCCGCCGCCGGAAGATGTTCCTAGGTCTACATATACTGTACCGGTGGTGGTAAAGAAGAAGAAAGTAGGATGGGGAAGCTCAAAGTCAACTACACCTTTAAGTGTCGAGGAGCTATTAAGGAAGAAGAAGGAAGCGGATGAAGCAGCTTCAAGGGTACGCTCTTCGTTCTCAAACTTGTATATCCGCTTATTGTATTGCAAAATTAATTTGATCTTACAGAACTATAACTAACTGCTTGTTCTGCATATATAGCCTAAATTTCTTACAAAATCCCAACGTGAGAAACTTGCACTGGAGAAAAGAGCGAAAGAAATCGAGCATGAGAGACGAATAAGAGCTGCAAGTACGAACGGCAGTATGATGTCAGATTCTAATGGCGGGGGTGGCAATTCGAATGGCCGTGCTTCGCCGACCACCCGATATGATAATGTAAATGGAAGCTCGAGGACCTCAATTCCCACTGCGCCGCGTGCGCTACGAGGAGAAATACCCACGGCCCCGGCTGCCATGCGTAGCTCTCAGGCGAAGAATAATGACCCGCGGCCAGGAAATAAAGTACCGTCCGATTCGGCTGCCACAGGCGAGAAACGAACGGCACCTGAAGATGCTCAGGCCCTGCTCACCAGACAGCGATATATGGGCGCCGACCAAACATCTAGCTTCTCTGCCAAGAAGAAAAGAAGACGTACAACCGAACGAAAGTTCAACTTTGAATGGAATGCGGATGAGGACACTAGCCCTGATTATAACCCGCTGTACCAGAATCGGTCTGAGATGAACTTCTTTGGCCGAGGTCGATTAGCTGGGTTCTCTGACGATGTAGTCGATAGCGCGGCGAAGAGATATGCGAAAGCTCTTGAGGATAGAGACCTGGAGGCAGGTAGCGCAAGAGCACGGGAAATTCTTGAAATGGAAAGACGCAGGAGAGAAGAAGGTGGCCGAAACGGGTTGGATTTGCATTGGAGCCAGAAACGGCTGGATCAGATGCGTGAAAGAGATTGGAGAATTTTCAAAGAAGACTTCAATATTAGCACAAAAGGAGGCAGCATTCCGAATCCTATGCGATCGTGGGGCGAATCCGGTTTACCGAAACGTTTGCTTGAGATCATTGATAAGGTTGGGTACAAAGATCCGTCACCCATCCAGAGAGCAGCTATACCTATTGCATTGCAAAATCGAGACCTTATCGGAGTTGCGGTTACTGGTTCCGGTAAAACGGCCGCTTTTCTGCTTCCGCTTCTCGTCTACATCGCCGAGTTACCGCGTCTCGACGAGTTCGAGTGGAGGAAAAGCGATGGACCTTACGCTATCATATTGGCCCCTACGCGTGAACTGGCGCAACAAATTGAGAATGAAGCCAGGAAATTTTGTAATCCACTAGGATTCAACGTTGTCAGTATCGTTGGTGGGCACTCCCTAGAAGAGCAGTCCTTCAGTCTCAGGAACGGGGCTGAAATCATCATCGCTACCCCTGGTCGTCTGGTGGATTGTATCGAACGGCGTATCCTTGTTCTCAGCCAGTGTTGCTA